AATAATGAAATTTTTCAAAATGTAAATAAAACATAGCATATACATGTAGGCTATAGGCCTATTGTAGAATAAACTCATCAACAACATGTATTGTTTTCTGACTAAGTATTAAGAGTTCAATATAGTGGACTGAACAATGAAAATCCCCCCCCCCCCCGACCAACAATATCCTCGAAATTTGAACACCTGCCAATTTGAACGCTTTTGGCTGGTCCCATGGGTGTTCGGATTAGACAGGTTTTACTGTAGAAGCACGGGACTGATATAAAGCATTCAAAAGAGATGTTCAGATAAGATGGTGTTTTGATATAGAGATTTTACTGTAAACGTTACACTCAGTAATATATTGTAATTTTATTTCATCAAGGTATGGAATGATGCTGCACTGCAAATCTTTTCTCTGTCCAACTGCTGGGTCATAGCCACAATTATTGTCTCAGGTATGTTATTGTTGTTTTATTCAATCCAATCTCTGACACTAGAGACACTGCCTGCAAAGTGCTTTTGCAAGAACACCTTTCACTATTTTCACACATTTTTTTACAAAGCAGCACAACTTATTGCATCTTTTACACCCTAGCCACTCTAAACTATAACTCATATCTTTATTATCCCGACAAATGAGGTTTGGAGGGGGATATTGTGAAAACGCATGTGTGTATGTCCAGATGATGAATTGCTATTTTGACCAGTGGTGAATAAAAAAGTCATTGATTTATTAGTAAAAAAATCAACTTTATTTACGTTAATTTAAGTTGTTTACATTATGTCATATGATATACAGTGTATGGTAAATACATTGGATTTCGACTATTTGACTTACGAAAATATGCAAAACATAGAATGATGAGAGCAAAACAATATTGTAAAATTTTAATAATTTTTGAGACATCTCTATTTTTACATTTTGCATAAATATATAATATAAAATACTATAAACAGTGCAAAACAATAATATACTCATTTGAATTTTTATGTGTGTTAGCATATATCACATACAGTAAAACCTGTCTAATCTGAACTCCTTTTGGACCAGCCAAAAGTGCTCAGAGTAGCAGGTGTTCACATTTTAAGCTTTTTAACATGAGAGATAATGAATTTAGTGTTCAGAGTAGAGAGGTGTTTGAATATATAGGTTTCACACTGTAGTGCTTAAATTATAATTAGTATCACTTTTTTCCTTGATACATATTGTATCATAGACCTCTAACATTCAGTTTGTTAATTTGGTGGTTCTAGGGGGTAATTTCAAACCCAATTGAATAAATCCGACATGATTTTTGATTGAGTTCAACCCAGCCGCCAACTATAATGTTGTCTGGTTCAATATAGCTTTGCCACACCCTGCCATTAAGTACACCAGGAGTTCCAGTTCTGCAGTTCTTATATGTGATACCAGCGGGGCTATCAGCATGAAAGAAACCAACTTTGTCATCAGGTTGAACCTGGAACCAAAATCTTTATGTTACATAATATAAAAGTATACTCTATATACTCCTGGAAACTTAAAATAGTATGTCAAACTAATCATGTAGTGTATACAATAAAAAAAAGTTTATATGAGCTGCTATTACTTGTCAATCTTTACAATCTCTAAGTTTTATTCTATGATAAAAAACATTACAAAAGGTTGATAAAAAAACTTAAAAATCAACTTTTTTATACAATCACCCTACATAACATTGAATGAGTTTTACCTGAATTCTCTTTTCAGCTTCGATATGAAATGTGTTTATTCTTCTCGGATGTATTAACACTTCATTTGATCCCACTAAAGTGAAATTTAATGACAACTCATTTCGACGCCATATTTGCATGTGAACCGTTGTGTACATCTCTGAGTAAATAACCCATTTGGAGATTCCCCCTCGTCTTGTGATGCGTAGAGTGTTCATGTCAATCACAGTCAGCCAGTTTGGACCATCAACAGTGCCGTAGTTCATCATCTGATTTTCTTGGTAAATTGGTACAGTTGATGATGCTTTAAGAAATGGAAGATTTAGAAACTGCATTATGTACACAGTATCCGAAATTCATTGTGACATTAAAAAACTGTCTCGTTAGCACTATGTATAAAATGTTGGTTTTGAATAATTTTGCTGACTTAAAACAACCTACCTTCACACTTAGGGACGCTTGAAGAACAGTCTGAAAATAAATGAATACCAATAACCTGTATATTATTATGGGTCCCATGATAATTCATTGAATTAATGCAATATCATATCTGAGTCATGCTTTGAAACATGCTTTATTACTACAAAATAAAATTCAATGGCACTTTTATCAAATATTTGGAGTAAAATGGAGTGACTTATCCAACACAGAATCATTCTTAAAAATTATGAAAATCATGACACTTATGAGAGACATTTGGCCAAAATAGAAGTCACATTTAAAAGAATTCCAGTGTATCATTATAGTTGCTTCAGAGTTGTTTACCAAATAGACCATGTATTAGAGGGAGATATGGTCTCATTAGGTAATTTTTTGTAGATTGTGATTCATTATATTACCAGAAGTGGTGACATATTGTTATAGTCTCCAATTTCTTCATGGATGGTGTTTGGCATCTGTAACAAATTACAAGGTGATGACATTTTGTCATGTGAATGCCTTGTAGGGGTTTAATATTACCATACCTGTTACAACATACTGGTCCCTATAATCTATGTTTCTGCAATAGGTCTCTGTCTTGCCACACCAACCATGTGTACTGCAACATGGATAGATCCCATCCCATCCAGATATAGGGGAATCAATGGGGCATTCAAGGTCGTTAAACAATGGCCCACATCTACCATCTTGACTTACTATTGAAGGGTGTTGCACTAAAAAATACATATCAATGCTATGGTGTCAAGCATTTGGACCAGGCTCAAGATTAATTTTAGAGGGTTATATTATGATGCAGCATACATAATATTGTATTGTACTGTACAGTATTAGCCTATTTTAATCTTATTATTACATTTGTTAAATTTATCTCTCTGTATCAGTTTTTAGTGCAATTAATTTATTTCCTATTTTCTTGAACTAAGTACAACAAGTGATATTCACTACCTGACATGTGCTTGTATATGTTTTAGCTCACATGGTGAATTATTTTGGATCATATTTTAGCTTGTTAGTATTCTTACCCATGCATTGATCATGTTTTGGTACAATTGTAGCAACACCATTTATGGAAGTGCATGCCATAGAGTGGATTCCATTAGTAATTTCATAACCATCATTACATTCATATGTCACACTGTCACCAATCATCAAAGAATCATCTCCAGAAACGACCATTGCATTTTCAACATTTCCAAGCTGTGCACATGCTGTAAAATGGAGTCTACTGTTATTTCCAAATGGGCAATGTTTAAAAAAGTCAAGCATGCATACATTTGTAGAAATGTTCATTACATAATTACATTGTAATGTAAATTGATTTTTATGTCTTGTTCTCAAAAGAATTATGTATGTGTGGTTTAAATGATTCTTAGACTTATATCTGCCTATGCTTTACATTTATTGTCTGATCTAAAATTGCTTCTTGTTTTTGAAAGATGTCATTGTTTGAGTTCTTTGAATTTTTACTATCTGTTTGGACAGTTTCATTTGGCGTTAACAATACTTAGATAAAAATGCATATAAAATGTATATTTCATACCTTGGGTAGAGGCATATTTCTCCCTATAGTCTATACAGCCAGAACATGTACAATGTGCCACCTCTTTGCCACACCATCCTCCAGGGCTGCAGCAGGGGAAGATTCCATCCCAACCTGGGATTGAACTAGCAATTGGACACTCAGTGTAGTCAAACTGTGCACCACATCGGCCAGTGGAAGTAATCTTTGAAGTATCTTGTTCTTTCAAAACAAAACAGTTGTTTGTATGAATCCTGAAATCTTGATTTAAATCGGGAGAAATCCGATTTTAAGAAAATATCTGATTTTAAGAAATATCCCGATACTAGCTTAGACTATGCATCTTTTCTGGAGAGAAATATTGAATCCAAAGATGAAATACTGCCAAGGAATATTCAGTTTAAAAGTAATTCTCAATGATGATCATTTTGAGCTCTTAAATGCAACATTAAAATGTACTCACCTTTCACACGTGTACATATTCCACAGGTTTTCTTGCAATAACGTGTGGCAAAGTCATTCTCTTCAGAACATAAGGTTGGCATGTGTTCCAAAAGTTGCAGACAATTATTTGCATCATCCAAACAAGCTACATCTATATCTGGTGGGATACCTTTACAGACATATGCTTTTTCATAGGCACATGACGTATCATCCCAGTGCCATGGATTTGTATCCCAAAACTTTTTATTGATAAAGGTACAGTTATCAAGTCCTTCATTACCATTGGGTTTTTTTACCTTCCAATCTGTATATGGTTCATATGATCCATCAGACCATTCCCAGCGATTTTCCTGTTCTTGGTCGTTCCATCCTATCCAGTATGAACCAGTGATACCACTAAAATTAAATTTTTTTCAAGAATACAATGTAAATCAGACATTGCTCAGTACTAGGAAGTATCATGTCATATCATAGATAATACAGTACACATGTTGACATTTTATTTTTATTTTACCCATTTGATGCTACATTCTGTATGAAGTCATCTTCAGCTTCATCATGCATACTTGTTATGTGACCTCCCTCTGTAATACAATACTCTTCAGCCAAATACCAGGTATGGGCACTGGGGAATGCCTTGTAGCAGTTCTCATTGTAAAAACTCCAACCAGATTCGCAACCATCTAAAATATACAACTCAATCAAGAATTTCTTAATTATTGTGTTTTCACAGATTGGTTATTCATGTACCATTCAAAACAGTATTTGGGTAAATTCCAGATTTAGCAAAATCTCCCAAAAAGCAGAAATCCTATTATGAAACAGTGCTTGTTTATTGCATTATTTCTGATTTAGAAAAAATGATATTAGTGGCAAATGGATGAATGGTTAAAAAAGTCATATGAAATCATTATCATACCCTCAGCCATTCGTTTGCATATAAATCCCATAGTAGTATTGCAGTTCTTATCATCCCAATATCTCCCACGTTTTTGATTTTGAAGAACGGCTGTGCAATCTTCATTACCGTTACTCCCTCCATTATTTGGCTTATTACGATACCACCACCTTAGGTATGCAGATGGATTCCCATCCAACCACTTGAATCTTGGATATGTGTTGTACTCGCCAACATCCTCTGTTAGACCTATCCAAAGATCACTTACTCCATGGCTGAAGAAGAGAATATAACACTTAAATGCTACAAGTCTACAAAGACATATACAAATATATATATTTCAAATGATACGCAAGTGACATCACTTCAATAATTCCATCTTTCCAAGTATATCTTGAAACATTTACAGAACTGTATGAAGCATTAATGATCAGATGATGACCAAAGTTGGTTTAAAAGCATTGGTATATCGCTCTATAGATTGCCAATGTGTTTGCCTTAATCTCCTTATGGAATCTGTGTACATCATTAATATAAATCATCTGTCCATTTACCTTTCTGCTAATTCATACACATAGACATGTTCTTCATGGCTTAGAAGACTAACTAAATCAGCATTAAAATCATTACATTTAGCTGCTGCATCCAAGAAATTGAGTGACTCAGTGAATACTGCATAACAATTTCCATTGAATTCATACCATCCAGCTGGACAAACTACAAATAAAGTCCATAATAACTAACTTTCAAAAGCATAATGCTTCAACTTGGATATTTCTCATATCTTTCTAGTATTTTAAACTCTAGTTTTGGAAGTGGAAATGTAAGGATCATAAAAATGTTATATCTCTCTTGTGATCCCTTGTATGTGTACCTCCACATATCACTTTCCTTCCACTCCATGTACCGTCTGTCAAAGCTTCACGTTCGTCAAACCCAAATACTTGTAGGTTGGTGATTTCTTCCCCATTTGTCTCACTACAGAGAAATCTGACTTTGTCTCCATCTTTATAGGTTCCACTAGCTGGGATTGGGTCGATTGTATAAGCATTGGGATCTTCTATATCAATACTTGGATTGATGAAAGCTGAAAGTATGAGTGTAAAAAAGTTAATATGTTCATGCTGATCAATCAAGACACATTAACACTTAAAATGAATTGAATATTTATAAACTGATTTATCAGTGATTTCTAAATTTTACTCTATCTATAACATTTGGTCAGGTACCTCTATCTAGGCTACTCGTTTGGTAATTGTTGCCTTAGTAGTTAGAATGTTAATTTATTCTTTCACAAACCTCTTTCTGTCACTCCCAATGTACACAAAGAACATGATTTCTTGCAGCCATATAAACCCTCATCAGAATCACAGTATTCTTCAGTCAACAAATCAGCACAATTGTTATATATATCATGACAAGTCCCTACAAAAGTACAGGAAAGTATTTTCTACTTGCATATTGTATCATAGTTCTGAAATAGATTTATAATGGTGAAACAATAACCATGCAATTAAACATCACAAATATCGAGTGTCCCAAAAAAGAGACGCTTTTTGACTAGTATTTTTTGACAACTATTAATCCATTTCCAAGCAAAAATATGTTTCCGTATTCACTTCACCACCAATGAATTTTGAGAATGAATGGAATTTGGATATCTTAGAAGAATGAAACAAAATTATTAAACATGATGCACAGACAAGCTATTTTGACTGATTGGCAGATGCTATCTCCTGATAACTGGTACAAACACCATGGTGGTCTTATCGCAGAGCTCCAGTATGGGAATTTTTGACATGCTATTTTGAATTTCTTAGTACTTACAAAATGTTTACTTGACTTTTTTATATTTTTACAACTTGCTAATCATACTTTTAGGCTACTTTGTACAAATTTTCAGTGCATTTGGTTCATCAGTTGCCGAAAAAATACTTGTCAAAAAGTGTCATTTTTTCTGGGACACCCGATATAATTTGATCGATTTGGTACTGAAAAGGGTTTCCTTACCAAGATTAGCAACATCGCAAAAGTCTTGAGTGCAGAAGTGATCTGTATAACACCATGGCCTGTATAATCCATTTGGGTTTCTACAGTAGTTGTGTGATCCCAGACCTTTTTCATAGTACCTAGAATAGTGAAAAGTATATATTGCCCATGTACATTCTCATATATGGATTTGATAATGGTTTGAGTTACACCCCAGGTTTAATTGCTTATAATTGCATTTTGACAAAGAAACCTTATAATGAAGGATCTTGGAGGTGTTACAGATAGACAAAATCCTTTGTTTGAATCCTATTCTCAAAATGGTCATAACAAATAATATAACCCCACTGTATAATGGATACCACTGTCTCCATGATTCATCTATCATATTTGATATATATAAAAACTGTATTACTTCTACTTTTAGTAAGCTTACTCAGGTATAAATGGGCTAACAGCACAGTGGCGCACATCCATCCAATTCATACATTTGCGGTTTGCTTGTGTGTATGATACATTGCCACGGTATGTGTCGCCCTTTAGCTCATGGTTGTAATACACATCAATATCTGCATCTAAATTTACATGAATGTGTTACTTTAAATGCATCAAAAAAAGGATTGATACTAGGACATCAAGGAAATCTATGACAAACTATGAACCAACTCAACCAATTATCGAAACCATGATAGATTCATGTTTTTTTAGGAATTATATTACAGTAACAACTTTTCTTCAGAATAGCTGCTTTGGTTAGTAAAGAAATGGTAGACAATTAAATCCTCATTACTTGTATTATATTTCACAATGGCCTTGAATCCACTTGCTTCTATGTTCTTGTTTGTACTTAGAGTGAGCCACATCAGGTTTGTTTCTGCAATCCATGATCTTGACATGTTTCCACCACAAACCCTGAATAAAATTTGCATTCAGCAATCAGCACATAATGATTGATGTATTGGTGCTAATATTTTTCGAAATGTCCAATTGTATTCATCGTTACACAAAAATCATGATCATGTTTAAATAAGTATGGTTACTTAATCCCTTTCTGTCCTGGTAAACTTTGTCTTATTTCAACAAAGTCTTTGCAGTTCGTTTCATGATTTGATACACCGTCTAAGCCACCATGAACATCAAATGTTTCAAAGTAGACATTCACTCGTGCCTCTTGAGGAGCCTGTAGAATAGTAATCATTAAATTTGCAAGTTACAGAGAGTTTTTCAGGGAAGAAGGGCAGTAGGAGGATGATTATGCAATATTTAAATATATCCTTAAACAATTTCATTCCATACAAGTCTCAAAGATGTGTCACAATGACAAGTTCCTTGTTTTCCTTTCCAGAGGGTATTTTATTTTGTTATTCAACATTAGAAAGTGTAGAAGTTTGAATTAGCATGCAATGAACAAGAATGTTATATACAGTACTTACTTTTATAAACCAATTGCATATTTGCTCTGGATTGTAATTGTTAGGATAATTAGGTGTCTGGATAGTTGCAGAGGGATTGTTTTCATCTAGTGTAATCTCATAATTGCAGCCTACAATAACATGCACAAACAGATTGTGTCAGATGAAATGATTTAAATAATTTGCCAAATAAAGATTTCAAAAAATTCAGTTGGATACATTTCAAAATGTTAACTTTGCAGTACAGCTCGAAAACACAAGTTATATTTAAGAAATATAAACCAAACTGTAGGTATTAAATGGATGAATAGATATCACTGGGCTAGGCACAAATGTTTTTCTGCTTTTGTGCCTAGCCCAAAAGTATATATTATTCGATATAAACCTGATCTGGGGCTATATTAGAATTTGAACATGAATTCTCACCAAAAGGAGCATGTACGTTATTGCAAACAATTTCAGATGGTAATATCTCGGATTATGATTATTTTTCCGACCATGAAGACAGGTATATCTTTTAGATCCATTCAATATCTCAAAGAAAATTATATACAGTAATAATAAAGTCAAACAAACTCGGAGATGTTTAACTAGCAATCAAGCCATCAACACACTTTTCAAAGATGTTGACCTTATTTTCAACAAAAATGCAATTGTTTTTTTTTTCAATATTTAATGCATTACTCCTGCTCCTTCTGCAAAATCCTCATTACTTTTTTAGAAATGGTCATTATTATAATATTTTAAGTCGTGTTTTAATTTTGCCATTTATGAAATATCTATTTTTATCTTATTGAAACATGTGAATTGGATATCAAAGCTTTTGCTTACCATAATTAAGAGGATAATAGTAGCACAGTTGAAAGGAGTACTGATTGCGCGAGATAGGATCATATGGGACAGCACCAGTTCGTTCATGATTAGGATCATCCTTCTCGTCAAACCGGATCTTATCAGTAGTAACAGCCATGCCTGGATGGACAAATATTTTATTCCCACTTTTATTTTAATTCTAATATGAGTGGTGGTTTTTGAAACAGTTGAATTGTTTAAGAGCATGTAGAGTATATCTGATAACCATGTTTTCATGGCCACATCTTTTTAACAGCCACATCAACATCAAACTAGGACCTTTAGAATTCAAAAATCATTATAGATAATCTGCACATCTTTTCCAAATTTAAAATCTATCCAAAGACATAAATTGTGGCAATCTAACCTGCAACAGCCTGACAAGTAGAACTTGCATGTCTAAACAAGTAGAAAGGCTTGGAATTTGGAAGCTGAATCGGCCAGAACTCATCACTATCAAACGGGTCATTCCTGCAGCAGAACTGGTATTCTGTATCCTAGAATATAATGTTTTAGTGGCCTATTTATATAAAAAAATGCCTTTAGAGGTCAACCTTTGCTTTTCTGAGAGCGTCTTACTCCTGTGATATTTGTAGAATTTATGTTCCCTATTTTAAGCATTCTATTATTTAAGCAGTAGTGATTTGAACAGGCATGAAAGTAACAAGCAAATCAATTTTGAAATTTGAAAATACACAACTAAAAAGTAGTAACCAATCAATCAATAGCTTTGAGTTTTAGTAATGCATATCTAGCTATGTGATTTATATTGAAAAGAATGGCTTACATCTTCCAGGACTCCATCTGGTACAGCTCCGCTATGGTTTCCTTGCTTAGAATCATTATCATCAATTCGCACAGAACCCATTTGGAAACCTTAATATAAATTTTATGAATCATTTCTGGGGTCGTCTGAGTTGGCTGAGAGGTCATGAGCAGTTTATGGGTACCGTAACCACAAGATTTCGAGTTCAAGATGCGTGTGCTCCTTTCGTTTATTCATTTTATTATAATGTATTATGATTGCTATGATTTGAATAAGCATAGTTTTGACCACCAATCTAAAGGACCTAAAAATGAAAAAATGTTCTATGTGTTACATAATGCAATTAAGTACTAAAGACTGTCTACCTCTTGGACAATCACCATGCTTGTAAATACAATATTTTCCTTCGGGCCAATCATATGTGCCATCATCTGTTGTGTCAATACAGAACTGATCCTTTGACCAATCTCTTGTTTCATCATAGGAATCAGCATGTATGTGATTCTTGTAGTTACTACTAAGGACATTTTTTCCCTCCCCATAATGTAATCTGTACCCTTTACTGAAGTCATCATCTGGGCACCCAGTGTTAGGCAATGGAAGACCATATGTACCAGATGGCCATTTGGTGGGAGCAGTTTGAGCTAGAATAAAAAGTGTTGTCAATTTGGTTGAAGTTTCTTAATTGTCTCTTTTATGCTTTTCTGCTGAAATATGTGCGTTTTATTTTCAATAATTATTATTTCAGTTTTATTTTTCTCTGTAATATTATTTTATAATGAAATATTTAAAGTGACATATTTGACTTTTTAACAGCTTAATACAGGGTATGTTCAATATAACTTACAAGGGTCATCGAATTCCTCACATCTTTCCCCAGTGAGACCAGGTAAACAAATACATGAACACTGGTCATTCACCCAGCCAAGATATCCTCCATTCTCACAACCTGCTTCTTTCTGCTCTGCGGTACACCCAGCTATTGGAAGAATGTATTATAATGGTGACAGACTGTTACATTCAATAGTTTTCTACTTTAGATTTTTCCAGATTTTTTTTTATCATTTTGTAGTTTATAGGTTAATGAAAATTAAGGTCAAAATTAATAGACACCTTTTGGAGACCAATCTTAAGATTGCAGATTTGTAACTTCTAAATGATGTAACACCAGTATTATGCTATCTACAAAATTATTAATTCTGTCATTCAATACAATCAACTAGGACTGAACATCAGAGGTAAAACTAAACGGCTAGTATGTCAATTTATGGACAGGAGTCACAACCCTCAATGTGCAATTCTTTTTAGACACAATGACTGCTCACTAAAGCCTCAGTCAGATTAGCTTTGCTTTCACAAAATTGATGGGGAAAATAAACACCATACTGCTTATAACAATGCACTATATTTTGTGCTGCATATTTTCTTTGATTTGGGGAAGCTACGGCCACCATACAGTTGCAGTAGATTAAATGTGACTTTACAGGTAGTGTTTATTTAACAATTTTCATCTTACCGTCACACTCATATGCTTTGGTGATGTCCATGAGGTCATAGAAACCATAATGGTATTGCTTTGCAGACCACAGGTACTCCCATCTGGGATCTAATGGCTCCATGGTTGGCCATTCAGTTCCAGAGGCAAACTAGAATGGAAAAGTAAAATAATGTTCAAGATGTTTAACCTCCTGACTACCAAGAGATGAGATTTCTTGTCATCTTAGAAATGACCTTGAAACCAAGAGTGACAAGATAATCTGTCACAAATTTTTTTCTCTAAAATTGCTCTTATTTGAACAATTTTTATCCGATTTACACAAAATACATTGTAAAATATGTTGAAACGATCTCTGCCAACAAAGGATTGGTATTGATATGGTGAACTGATTAATTCAACAATGTTTTTCTCTTAAACCAATTATTGAAAACATTCTGTGAAAAACACGGTCCTTTATGTAATGTTGACTGAGAATTATTTATATACATTTTATGACTGTTTTTGTTAACATTTTTGGTTTTTTAGTGTAATTGTTTTTTGTTCCAAAAAAGGAACCCCCTATATTCCTCCTTTTTTTCTTTTATTCTATTTTTTCTATTTTATTCTTTCTATTTTCTCATATTTCTCATTTTAAGAAATAACTCTCTGATATTTTTCACATTTGTACATCATTCAATTTCCTACCACCCTACCATATTTCATGACCATCAGATCGATAGTCACAATGTTACCCCACTTTAAAGAACATGCCCCAGTGGTCACTATTGGCTGTCTGGAAACCTGCACTCGTCAACAAAAATGTCCCTACCTGTGGGGATATGACAGAGATAGAGTGTATGAGAGTGACTGAGGACAATTGCAAACCTAAAAAGTGAGATCATCCATGTCATTCAGGCCATACCTGCTGAGGAATGCATTAGGGTCATTGACAACTGTGCAGGTTTCCCTACAGCACGATGATGGCCAAATCTGAAGCATGGTGTTCGAAGTGCTGTGAAATTGTGACTATCGATCTGATGGTCATGAAATATGGTAGGGTGGTACTGGTAGGAAATCGAATGATGTACAAATGTGTAAAATACTAGGGAGTAATTTCATGAAATGACAAAGATATAAAGAAAATGCAGGATTTCCATTTTTTTGACCACCCTGTAAAATATCTTTCCAAACCTTGTTGGAACAAATGGCATTTTCAACATTTTCTTAGGCCTTTGTATAATATAGTAATACAAAGGAAAGTTTGGTTGATTTAACAAAAGTATTAAAAAAATTAAAACAAAAACCCCCAAATAGATAAAAATTGAGATAAAGCTTTTATTTCATTAACAAGCTACTTTTTTAAATCAACCAAACTTTCCGAGAGACCAAAACATGTGTTTATGTCATTTTGTTCCAATGAGGTTCTGATAGATGTTTCATTTCATTCCGAACATATGATACCAAGAACAAAAGAAGTGTCTGATGTGTTTTCTAAAACAATATAGAGAAAACTATGTATTTTTCAAATTATGTTGTTACCATTTAAAAGATGACCATCAAATTGATGATGTGTTAAATTTTCAGAATTTTGTGATGACTGTTTTAAGAGAAACGTGTGTTCAAAAAGTTCACCATATTGATACCAATCCTTTCACTTAATTGAGCATCACCCGTTGTATGAATGTAGTAAAATGTCAAAAGCTGGCAAAAATGAAATGGATTCAAACCGATTTTAGAGCCTGGGATTCAAGAGGTAAACAACAGTTTCTAAAACAAGATTTTCCATTGAACTGTTTAGTTATGTACTGCATTGGAATTTTTATTGTCCAACAAAAATATAATTGATTATAAGTAAACTTACCCAGTTGCTGTATGTCAAAACTGAGGCTATGTCAACTGGATGGAAACTTATATAGTTGTTTTTATGATGGAACTCAGTTCTTTCCCAGCTGTCTTTACCTATTGTAGCTGTGAAGGAAACATAGCTATTTTGAAAATAGGAGAAATATTTGTATAAATATCTATTTTCCAACAAGGTAGTTTGGATATTGGAGAAATATTTCAGATTTTGAACCTTCTTAGAATTATACTTTAGTGTGCAATGCCATATTGATTGTACATATATTTTAAATATAAGTTGCTGTTTTAACTGATTTTTAATATGTTTTGTGATTTCTTAAAGTATGAATTTTATGATCATCCCACCAAACGAAGTTCCAGGGGATATAGGAAAGCCGTTTGTCTATCCGTCCATCTGTGGCGATAACTCAAATACTAGTAATCAGATTTGATTCAAATTTTATAGGCTTATTCCTTATGTGCATAGGACCTCTGCTCCATAACGAATTTTCAGTATGGCCACTCAATTCAAAATGGCCACCATATTTCGTAAAACGTAAAAAAATTTAATCGTTGGTAACTCAAATACTAGTTGATGGATTTGGTTCAGATTTTAGATGCTAATGCTTATAGGGACAAAGGAGCTTTGCTGAAAAAGAGATTTTATAGATGGTAGCTGAATTTCAAAATGGTGGCTAATTTTCGTAGAAGACAATCTTTGATAACAGTGGACTGATTTGATAATAATATGATATCTAGGGACAAAGGAGCTCTGGTCTGGTCAAGAAGACATTTCATGATTTCTACCAAAATTCAAAATGGCAGCCATTTTTCCTTAAAAAATGTAATCTTTGAAAAATGAGATACCAATGGGTAGATTTGGTTCAAATTTTATATGCTGATACCTATGGACAAAGGAGCCCTGGTCAAGAAGGAATTCTCAAGATGGCAGCTTAATTTCAAAATGGCTCCCATTTTTCATAACGAAATGTTATCTTTGATAATTCAAATAGTCGATGGGTTTGGTTCAATTTTTTATGCTGCTGCTAAACGACAAAAGAGCTCTTCTCAAAAAGACAAAATTTCAAAATGGCCACCATTCTTCCCAACAGAACATAATCTTATACAACTCAGAAACCAGTTGACAGGTTTGGTTCAAATGTTATATGCTGGTGCCTAAAGACAGGGGAGCTCTGCTCAATAAGCCTTTTAAGATATCTGCCAAATTCCAAAATGGTCGCCATTTTTGCAAAAAAAACATAATTATTGATAACTCAAATGTCAGTCGATAGATTTTATATGCTGATGCCTAGGGGGAAAAAAAACTCTGGTCAAGTAGAAATTTTCAAGATAGCAGCTGCTTTTATGTAAAAGATCATAAGCTTTGATAACTCAAATACCAGTGGAGGGATATATTTATCAAAACATTTTTGTTTGGTGGGATTTGCTACTCCATGGAGTTGCTGTTTTCTAGTTTGAATCAATTTATAAACTTACGATCAATGTTCTCCGGTCTAAACTTTAAACGCTCCCATGCTTTTTCTGCCTGTTGCTCATGTACCATTCCAAACATATGTCCAAATTCATGTAGTGCCAAATCAATGTTATAATTCTATAAAATCATGATACATACAGAGCTTTGAATCATTCATTCATCTCTGACAATTGACATGGTATTTTTATTAACAGCAATACCAGCGTATCAGTTGGGTTTAAGGCAGTTTCACACACTGTTGAATGATGATTATAGTGTGAGAATTATTTGTATGTTGTATGTTGCCTTTTTTCTTAATTTCAAATAATTTAGTATTATGAGATGAAGATTTTCACACAAGAAACATCTCCGAATATATACTGCATTGATATTAATGTTGACAAAAGTTCATTCACTTCAAAGAATAATATGATTTATTTCCAATGTTACGCTGGTTATTGTACCAGCTTTATCAAGAATCTGAATATTTTCAAAATGTATACAGATAAAAATAAATAAGTAAATAAATAAAAAAAATGATAAAAAACAAATCATATCATATATAATCATAATATAGATCATATTAATCTCTGAAGTAGATGAACTTGTTTACATTATTATATGAAATGAATTAATATTGTTATGCGAATATATACATACATATGTAGGTGTTGCATGGATGTCTTGTCCTCCGCTATTTAATCGGCCAACATAAGACCAACAGCACCTGACATACAAACATAGAACTTAGGCTAGTTTTTAGCAAATTACAAAAAGTTGTATACAATTTGATATTCTGATGGTATTCATGGCTGTTCAAGTGAACTATATGTCAAACATTACAAAGCATTATAGTGGTATATAGTCATATTAGTAACACATACTGTTTCTGCCTTTAAATATATCATCTGTGTATAAAATGAGTTGTGCATGAGCCATCAGCATAGGTTTACATAAATCATTTACTTACCCACATTTATGCGTGAAGTTAGCCCATGATTCATGTTCCAATCCCAATTCTTCATGTACCGTCTCAGTATATGGCACAAACCTCAGACATGTATGTTCATGTACATATTGCTGAGCTAGGTTCACATCATTTCGGGCCGCGGGAGCTAGAATAATTGGGTTTTCAAGATATAAAAGAAACATAAATTCTAGAATGAGGGAGAAAGGTGCCTCACATATTTTTGATAATTAAAACTATATTTCTATACTGATTTGAAATTCAAAATATATACATTTCAATATATGTTCATTACATTTTATTTATTTGGGTTGTTTCTTGTCTTTCCAAATTATTTAGACATGAATGTGTGAATTAGTCGTATATGTAAATATGACAGTTTGCATCATGCTTATATTTGTACTCTCAGACATATTATACAAGTATGTGTGATAAACTGCATTTATGAATTAGGCATAATTACTTGATGTTTCCCCCCACTCCCAGGGTATATACGCATATCCATCTGTTCCCTTTGTCCAGTGCATTCCTTTGTTGTTGTTGATGTTTCTTTTGTTGCGTTGCCTTATATTTCTCAATGGAAGATTGCTATCTTTAGGAGACAACGAGCGTCGCCTTCTAGCACCTTTCTCAGTGTGGGTTCCCTCATTCGTTTGCCTCATTCTGATCTCTTTCTTCCTTTCGTATTGATGTGAAAGGCCATTTGGGTTTTCTTCATCTCGATGCTTTCTAAGCTCATATGCTATTTCCATTTCTGTTGGAGGTTCTTTGTTGTCGAACTAAAATAGTAAAGGTTTCTGTCAATGATGATGAGTGTATCATTCATGAAACATGAACATTATTAACAATTTTCCACAATTTCAGGATTTTGTTATGCAGTGTAAAAAGTATTTCACAATAGTTTGACTTTTGATTTATAAGAATGCTATTTGTTTATATTTTCAATTATTTGAGTTTGATATATTTGACACAATGCATTCTTACTTGTTCTATCCCTTTAGGCTGTGTACCTTTGGCTAATTCAACCACTGCTTCTCTTTCCTGTTTAGTGTCTAGGTTAAACATGATTCCTTGCGTAAGCTCCATTTGAGCCATCTGGAGTTTCTCTTCAAATCCATGGTTTGAGGCTTGAGCAATGTAGCCTTTATGCATCTATATAGCAATATAGTATAGTGACATATAGTCTATTTTAAATGGAATTTTTATTTTTGACTGATTCTTCAGAGATGTAAATGTTCTAGCAGAAGGTGTATTTAACCATAAAAGATGATATTAAACAAATAGGTAGGTAGGTAACAGATAGGTATTCTGGCATATCCACCTCATGGTCATCCAGTATTTATTTTATTATGCACCTCCCTTCAAATTGTCAAGAAATACTTTATTTTAAAGAAAGGGTCTACTAAAACAGAAGCAGAGCCTAGTATTTTTTGTCAAGGATAGGTATTCTGGCATACGGGATGGTTGGAGATCTCGTTGCTTCAATACTGGATAGAACGAGATCTTGCTGCCACGTATGGCAATAGACCCTGCAGCTCTTAACCAATCAGATTTGAGTATTTTAATGAGGTGCATATTAAAAATATTTACATACAGGGTGAAAACGTTAAAAAAAGTTACTCTAGGTTTGGAATAACTTTTTCAATTATGAAGGAATCTTTGTTAATTTTTTTCTGTGCAGAGGGTTCAATGCATGAAACATTGGTGTACCTACATAGCATCAATAGCTTATGTTTTCCATTGAGGAATGCTCTAATGCCAAACCACTCAATGTAAGTTAAGAAATCATATTTGAGAAAGTTATTGCAAAATTAGTGGGTAAGCATTCTTGGGGTCACCTTGTATATTTGGCCTTTATCAAAAAGCTAAAATCATTCATTTTCATACATTTTATGCATTTTTAGATATGCAAATTATTTTGTTGCAAATTACCTGGTTGACATCCTTTTCAGGAAATGGTTGCTGTTCCTAAAATGTTAAATGTAGCATATTGATATCAAAGCAGCTGAAATGTTATACCTGAGATACTTAAATCTGAAATCGTACTACTTGATATGGCTGTGAGGAATTTTTATGGTCATTTTTAAATTTGATTTTGTGATATTTTGTTTTCTTTAAACCAAGCCATGTTTGGTATTTGTTATGTGGATGATGCATAATAAAATAGAAATTATGTAAATTATTGTGTACTTTATCCCATAACGACTCAATAGGCATTAAACAGTTACTTGTACTTTTGACCCAATTAAAAATCGTAGTGCAAGAATTTGTTTGAAACCCTGTACGGTGATCCAAGTCCATTTATGTTGCAAAATATCATGACAGTGTGGGTCTATGTAATTTTTTTTAATTGGTGGGTGTACAAACACAAGTTGCCACTTGGTGAGTGACAGAAAAATCCTTAGAGCCACACTGTTGTGTTATCGTCAAATTATGAAGCTCCCCTTTTATTGATAAGCTTATTCATAATATTAGTGATAGCACATCCAATTCTTATCCCATTTTTAACAAAATGCATAGAAGCATGTTTTACAAAGATTCCAATAGGTAGTTATCAAGTTCACCACCAGGTGGCTAATTCAGGTCAGATAATGGCAGACCACGGTAAAGAAAGAAACAATTTCCCTGAATTGAATTTTCAATAGATTTAGTAGATCCATTTTCATATAAACCTTTTTCAGTTTGATAATTATACAATATCCCAGATGCGAGTAGAAATAATCTTGATTTACTTCATTAAAAATTCACAATTCAGTCAAACTGATGCCATATTTGGAATCTACATGTAAAACTACATTTAGAAATGTGGTTTTGGAAAGAGTTTATCAACTTTGAAAATTTAATTTTCTTTGAAAATGTGACTTCTAGGTCGGGGAAATTCTCCATAGAGCCAATGTTGTAAAACCCCAAAAAGTGAAATATCTTTTCTTGTGTTGGGCAGATAATATTTTCTTTTACTGGACATATTTTAATTTGTATAACTATCAGATACATAAAGGTAATATGAAAAGTGAACCATTAAAACTGATGCATATTCAAGTTTAAAGGAATTTTGCAATACCCTGCCATGTTAATTCCCCCGAATCAGCCACCTGGTGGCGAAACTGGTAACTACCTACTCGCATCTGAGTAATTGAAATGTCTAGAAATAGAAAATATTATCTGTTCAATAAATGAAAATAGAATTGAACTTTTCATGATTTCATAACATTTTATCTGTAGATTTTAAATATGATGTTACATGTTGACTTAATTTTCAATATTTAATGAGTTAAATCAGGATTATATCTACTTGCATCTAGTCACTATTGGCCAAATCTAACACCTAAATATTGAAGTGTTCTATATGTGTTATAGTCAATACTCACCGCATCATCTTCATACAAGTCTTCAGCCAATAAGCCATGTATACACAGCCATAATATTCCAGATATTGATAACAGATACATAGTGTCCCCTCCTGAAGATAAACAAACTGGATCATTTTTCACAATTTATCAATACATGCAGAGAAAGTTATATTAGATTGATAGATTCATCAAAGTTTTGTTAGAGCATCCACAAACTTGGAACTGCCAATCCGGGCTGCCAATACATATTGAGTTATATGGTATTTAAAATCGAATTAAACTCCCCTTAATAATAATTGTGGTAACTATATTATAGAACATGATACATCCTTGGGAAAATCTTTTCCTGAAATAAAGTATGCATTTAAGGGATTTTTAGAAAATAGAAATGACAAGGAATGACATGAGCCAAAAATATCCTAAAATTGAAACAATATTTGTGAAGGTTGCTCGTTAGATCTCATACTCCCTTTAATGCATTATTATGATATTCAGATTTAACTTTTTTTGATTTAATTTGAGAAATATATTTTGTCTTACCTTCCCAGTGTGGTGGACATCAAATGGAGAACAAATGCTCAGATGCTGGATGTTAAATGTCTTAATATCTAATCGGATATTGAGCCTTATCCTATTATTACAGTGTATTAGTTTAATTTGTTCATGTAACATTTTTATCCTTTTTAAAGGAAATCCATTTCAATGAAAATTGTTATAACATCACATACTTATGTGTTTTGATGTAGGTCATTTACTTAACAGCCTCCGGGGATTCAATTGAGATTAAGTGAAAAGAAATCATATTAAGAGATTATTTACAAATATTATCTTGCTAAATCTTTAACGTAAGCTTTCTATTATGTAGTATTTTCAATCCTTGCTTGAAACATCCCTGGAGGTAAATCTTAAAGACCTCTCGAAAGAGCTTAATTATATCTTCAAGGATGTTGGGTAATTTTGTAAAGATCATTGTCCTAAGAATATAAGCTGCCAGTTCAGGGTGAAGATTTCCCAGAGATGAGCGTTGGTTTTGGCATATTCAATAACCAATTTTACAAACAAGTATCATTTGACATTTAAATTGATCTCAGAATGTTCGCTGTTGTTTTATGATTATTCTCTACAAGTTTGGATAGCATAACTTGTGTAGTATTACAGTTTAGTTGAGAAAGTATGATGTTGTAGTGAAATAAATGCTATTTCCTTGCCATTTCCACGATTTCATCCTTGGCTCTGAGAAAACAATGCTCACGATTGATAACGTGATCATATCCTGCAATTTGAGTGGACATCATATACTTATGGGCGTGATTTTAATAAATTATGTTAATGAATATGAAAGAATAAGGGGAGCTACTCACTTCTTCTGCCGCTGGTTTTTACAAAATCAGATGGCTTAGATAAATACAGGGTGTCCAATAAATAAGGTGAAAGATACTGTAAACTTCTAATTTTAACAATCTTAATTTGGGCAGAGTGTTAATCAAATTTTTCATTCTGCAAATGTGTTTTGTGTTTAAATTCATATAAAATACATATTTATTAGTTCCAATATTTATTGAAGTGACTTTTATCCTATCATATACACACATGCACATGTTTTTGTTTTGTGTTTTGTAGGGATACACTCATCGTGGCATTTGGGAACTGCTGCACGAGTGTCTTTGATGGCTTTGTCATCTTCTCCTTCCTTGGTAACATGGCTGGCACCATGAATACTCCTGTGGATAAAGTCGTTGATAGCGGTAGGAAAAATTAGCCCCTTTTCTTTGTTCAATTGTAGCATAAGTGTATTAATAAGTCATAATAAAAAGAAAAGTATTCATTCACTTATAAACACCTTTTTATAAATGTTTGCTCTATATAAATGGATATAGCTGTGCAACAAATGATAACTTGAGACACACCCAGTATAAACATGGTAGATAAACCATTGAAAACCACAATTGAAATTAGGCAATCCTGAGTGTAGGACATTTTTGCCTTTTTATCGTACCTAACAAGAGGTACGATATTGTAGTCAGATTGACGGGCGGCGGGCGGGCGGGCGGCGTCTCACTTTCAAGACTTGTCTACAGGTTTCCAGCCAAACCATTTGAGGGATTCATCTGAAATTTTCAGGGATTTTTCTACATATCAACGTCAAGAACTGATTAGTTTTTGGGCATTCTGGGTAAATTTTAAGGTGGCCATTTTGGATTTTCCATTCTTAAATCTTTACTTTCAAGACTTGTCTACAGGTTTCCAGCCAAACCATTTGAGGGATTCATCTGAAAATTTCAGAGATGTTTCTGCATATCAACGTCAAGAACTGATTAGTTTTTGGGCATTCTTGGTAAATTTTAAGGTGGCCATTTTGGATTTTCCGTCCTAAAATCTTCACTTTCAAGACTTGTTACATATGTTACACAGTGATAAGTTGTAGAGCTGATTAACTTTTCTGCGGCCATCTTGCTTTCTTGGTCAACAAAACCACAATGCTGTGTTTTAGGTACGATATTGTTCACATCTGTGCCTTGTTATCAACTTCTTGTTAGATCATAAAAATACTTCCTAGGAATTTCCATGATTGACATTGTCATTGTATGTGCTGTTTTTTCTCTGTGAATAAACAGCTTTTCAGTTCAAAATATATTGTGTGAAAATCTGAAATTTCTTGTAAAAATGAACTGCTCCTTCGCATTGACCAAATTCACAGGCTGGTATCGAAAGATTTGTCCGCTGTGACAGAGCATGCTATTTTCCATAAAAACATTAAGAATACTTCACAATTTATTTTTTTAACTCATATGTTTAGTTTTATCAAAGAAAATTACCATCATTTGCGGATAAGCTTCACTTCTATTTGAAGTTCAGTAACGCTAGGAACATAAGCTATTGAAACCGGCGCCAGAGTATCAAACTCTAAAATGTACCATTTCTTTTTTAACTTTTTTATGGCATGATATAGTGACAAGATAATATTTACGTATGTTGTCAGCATAACTCTGAATGTATTAATGATATCTGGATGTATTTGGTCTTTTTAATTTTTTTATAAAAAATAATGTTTAGATTTTATGTCTATTGTGATGGAGCAGTTTCAGAGTTCATATTTGCAGCAGCTCCGTCAAAGCGGACAAAAAATTAAACATTATTTTTTATAAAAGATTAAATTAAAAAGACCCAACACATCAATTATTTTATCAATACCTTCAGAGTTATGCTGAAAACATATGTAAATATTATTGGGTCACTATATCATGCCATTTCAAAGTTAAAAAAGAAATAGTACATTTTAGAGTTCGATACTCTGACGCCATTTTCAATAGCTTTTACTCCTAGCGTTATGGGACTTCAAACAGAAGTGAAGGTTACCCGAAAATGATATATCTATTGCATGGTGTAAGTTATTTTCTTTGATATAATGATACGTATGAGTTAAAAAATAAATTGTGTGGTTTTTATGAAAAATAACATGCTCCGTCACAGCGGACAAATCTTTCGATACCAGCCTGTGAAATTAGGTGATGACATCCCATGGATATTTAAATATCTGTAAGCAATGCACAGTGTCTTATGACACTTTTTATTGAAGGTGTTCATAACAGCCATTTTTACTTGTGTTATTTTTCATTTTTTACTGTCTTGAAGAATAGTGGAGCAATTTGTTCATATTTGATATGCAAATATTTATAAGCAATATACACAGTCTTATGGCATTTTTATAGTATATTCTTATCTTGAAGGGCCAGGCCTTGCATTTATAAAGTATCTTTGTTTTTTAGGGCCTTGCATTTATAGTGCATCTTTGTCTTGTAGGATCAGGCCTTGCATTTATAGTTCATCTTTGTCTTTTAGGGCCAGGCCTTGCATTTATAGTGTACCCATTTGCTGTGACAATGATGTCAGTGTCTCCCCTTTGGGCCATCCTGTTTTTCTTCATGCTCATAACACTTGGACTTGATAGTCAGGTCAGTAGCATGCTACCCTTCAACAGAGATCAACCATGTATGAACTCTAAAGGAATTTTTTCATCTTTTGCATAGCAAACAGTCAGAAAATAGTGACACAATATTTTGAACCTATAAGTAGCTATATTCGTCATGTCACATTTGAAATCCCAGTGGTTATTGATTAGTGATAATATTATATTACACAATCTTAATCTTTAGGGTACATTCCTCAAAAATGCTATTTGAATAAAATAGTTGACCTAATGACTTTTGTTGTTGATTAGCCTCTGAGCATCTGTAACAAATAGTTACACTTACATTATTATGTCAAGTGAATGCTTGTTTCTTCTTTTCTAGTTTGCCATGTTGGAAACAGTCATGACGTCTATAATGGACCAATTTCCACATGTTCGGAAAAAGAAGACATTCATAATTCTCTTCATCTCCATTTTGTTCTTCCTTTGTGGTTTGACACTGACCTGTAGGGTAAGTATGTAAAAGGTCAAGGTCATGTAATTTTGATGACCTGGGAATGACATCACAATATTGATCCCTGGATCCAGGCAACAGCTATGTGGTAGATTAGGAGAGTGCAGTTATTTACCAAAAGTGTTCATTGTTGTATTGTATGAGCAGAAAACGAAGCAATATGACTTGTTAGTAATTGACCTGGGATTTATATTAATGTATAAGTTGCTGATGAAATAGAATATAACTTTCAAAGCAAGCTATCTCTCTATTCCATAATGCATAAATATGAATAAATAACATTGTTTTATTAAAAACTTGTGTAATGTTGATTGAATGTAGGTAATGTTCATAGAATATTTTCCTATTGCAGGGAGGGGCCCACATGTTACAGTGAATGGACACATAATGTGGAGGATGGGCCATTCTCATTATAGGAATTGTTGAGGGTATATCTATAGCTTGGATTTATGGTAATTTGTACATCAATTATATTTTATTTGGCGTATTTGGGACTTGATTAATGTGAACAGTCTAATCAATTTATGTTTGTATCTTCCCACTTTGATAGATTTAGCGCATAATCATACTCATACACACAAGCAATATTGACTTCCCAGGGTAGATCACATCTACAATATGTACTAGCTCATATAAGTCCATTTTTCCCAGTTTAACATGATTTGCATTATATACTGTATATAAACTTGCAAGGGCAACCTTTAACTGTTCATTTCTGATTCGTCATTATATATCTATTTTAGGAGCAGACAGGTTTATGAATGACATTGCACTGATGACTGGAAAGAAGCCTTCTATTTGGTGGCGAATATGCTGGCAAGGTCTGACTCCATTCCTTATCATTGTAAGTAGTTCCTAAATCTCTGTAATGATGTGTTTGAATGTTAGTATACCATCCCTTTTCAATAGTGAATTTAGTATTCCACATCCTATATTTTGTAAGACTATTATTTGTCTATATTTGTTTAGAAATGGCGTTTTCATGGAATTGACTTAATAGTTGTTGTTGCTATTGTAAAGATCGGTCAAATTAGTCTAGTTATTCTACCCAGATTACATACTTTTTCATGTAACCAACACAATTACAAGTGGTGACATACTGATATGTTGTCTACAACTTTTTTGTGGATGGTGTTCGGCATTTGGGGATTGGCCATTAATATTGGTTTCTGTAACAGTTGGCATATTAATGCCATGTTTATTATTATTTTCAGTTTATTCTATTATTTACATGGATAGACTACTCCCCAGCTAGGTTTGGCGACTATTCCTTCCCTGAGTGGGCAGATGGCTTGGGCTGGTGCATGAGTTTCACTTCTGTTATATTCATACCAATCATGGCTGTCTATAAGCTTTCCAAGGAGGAAGGCTCATTCTTAGAGGTATGTATCAAATTTGGAGATTCTATCTGATCATGGGCTTCATTTTTTCTGGTAAAGTTTGGGTCATGAATACTTTACTTACAGACTTCATATAAACCTGGAAATGTGTGCATGCATTTATTTTTTTGAACAGGGCTTAAGTGTCAGGGAAATTGTTAATAATAAAATGTTTCAGGGAAATGTATGAAACTTAACTTTGTAATTTGTATCAGGATTGAAATGTACTTTTTACATTTTGAAGTTTGAGCATATATTTTTCGAATGACTCGAAGTTACAAATTGTTTCATGATAGCGTCTGCGCCGGGTGACGACACCATCAATTGAGTGGGGCCCAGCACTAGTGAAACATCGGAGATTGGTGAATTATGTTAATGGCTTTTGGACTGACCCTAAAGCTGCACTGGGTGTTGTAAACCCAGCTATGTCATATAGCAGTATGAATGGAAGCTCTGTCAAGGTAGGTAGATCTGCTACTATGTGTAATTACAGAAATACACAATTTTATGCTATGAAGTGTGGTATGGTAGAATGATACAGACACATTGTTTGTGGTTGAATGCAACTTGTAATCCTGAAAAAATGCCTGATAATTGAGGTTGGAGGGTATGTTTAATATGTTTCCATGGCAACCAGTTAACCATGTGACATGGACTTGCACAGTAAGTTACCAGATACCAATATATCCTAGTAATTTGAAGACATCCTGCTGAGTATTTAATAAGTTCTAGCGCAGTTTCATAGTACCGGGGGTTTAAATTATAGTCCAGAAGGGAATAAATGGCCACAAAATCTCAAAGCTGAAAATCTAAGCTCCAATAATTCATATAAATATGCAAAATCATGCAAGTAAAATAAAAGATTATGTCCCATGAATTCCCTCTGAGTGCATGTTCATATCCTCGTTCCGAATGTATTAATAATCTACTTCTCTTCATAAAACACATCATTTGGGTGTCTTTATTGCTGTTATGCGAATAACTTCACAAGATTTCATTAAAAATCAAAAAATTGAATGATGAAATAACTTCCTGTTTCAGGTGAGCTACAATGGTGTGCCAATAAGCCTGACCCCTGGCTATTCAACCCCTGGGTACTCCACCCCTGGTGGTGAAAGTATAGATGGGAGGAGAACTCCAGGATCTCAAGCTACAGGAACATCGTACATCTCACAGGCCAATAGTTCAGTGTCATATGAAAGTGTTGTGTAAATCAACATGTTGAATACCGGTGAAGAAAATCAAGCCTAGAATTGAAATAATAAACAGGCTGTCTTTACTAGTTTTCCTGATAAAATGTTAATTTTATATAAAGTTGATATCTATAGTGTTTAAACAGATGCTTGGTTGATGCAATCTTTTTAGTTCTTCCAAGATAATGTTAGCCTTGCCCAAGTCGGTGTTTTTTTTACTTATCTGATCTTAATGTCTACATCAACAATCCTGGAAGCATCAGGGAGTTGAATTGAAACAAGGGGTTAGAAGGAGGATAAGACAGCATGTACATCTGGGACATTGACATGTAGATCTGTAACATTAAACTTGATATGTAGATCTGAGACATTAAACTTGATATGTAGATCTAAGACATTAAACTTAATATGTAAATCTAAGCATCAAACTTGATATGTAGATCTAAGACATTGAACTTAATACAGTATGTAGATCTGAGACATTTAATTTGATATGTAGATCTGAGACTTTAAACTGAATATGTAAATCTGTGACATTAAACTTGATATGTAGATCTGAGACATTAAACTTAATATGTAAATCTGAGACATTAAACTTGATATGTAAATCTGTGACATTTAAATTGATATGTAGATCTGAAACATTAAACTCGATATGTAGATCTGAGACATCAAACTTAATATGGAAATCTGTGACATTAAACTTGATATGTCAATCTGTGACATTAAACTTGACATGTAGATCTGAGACATTAAACTTAATATGTAAATCTGTGACATTAAAATTGATATGTAGATCTGAAACGTTAAACTTGATATATAAATCTGAAATATTAAGCTTGATATTACATCTGTAATTTTGAATTTTATATGTTCATCAGTGATGTGTTACTTGATTTGCAGGTCTGTAAGATTTCACTTCATATTTATATTATACTTGTACATAATACTTGATGTGTAGATTTATGACATAGAAACTCACTCAATACATGTATATCTGTAACATTTGTGAATTTAATTATGGATCTGTGACTTACAAAATGACTCAATGTGTGTAGGCCTATTTATGACATTTAACTTATGTGACATATAAGTCCTGCAGATCTGTGATCATATGGATTATTTTGAGCAGAATTCAATTGGAAATTATTATGTGTAGTATATATTCATGCAGATCTGTGATCATATGGAATATTTTGAGCAGAATTCAATTGGAGATTATTATGTGTTGTATATATTCATGCAGATCTGTGATTATATGGAATATTTTGAGCAGAATTCAATTGGAGATTATTATGTGTAGTATATATTCATGCAGATCTGTGATTATATGGAATATTTTGAGCAGAATTCAACTTGAGATTATAATGTGTAGTATATATTCATGCAGATCTGTGATAGTATGGAATATTTTGAGCAGAATTCAATTGGAGATTATTATGTGTAGTATATATTCATGCAGATCTGAGATTATATGGAATATTTTGTGCAGAATTCAATTGGAGATTATTATGTGTAGTATATATTCATGCAGATCTGTGATCATATGGAATATTTTGAGCATAATTCAATTGGAGATTATTATGTGTAGTATATATTCATGCAGATCTGTGATCATATGGAATATTTTGAGCAGAATTCAATTGGAGATTATTATGTGTAGTATGTATTTATGCAGATCTGAGATAATATGGAATATTTTGAGCAGAATTCAATTGGAGATTATTATGTGTAGTATATATTCATGCAGATCTGAGATTATATGGAATATTTTGTGCAGAATTCAATTGGAGATTATTATGTGTAGTATATATTCATGCAGATCTGAGATTATATGGAATATTTTGAGCAGAATTCAATTGGAGATTATTATGTGTAGTATATATTCATGCAGATCTGTGATCATATGGAATATTTTGAGCAGAATTCAATTGGAGATTATTATGTGTAGTATATATTCATGCAGATCTGTGATAATGAATATTTTGAGCAGAATTCAATTGGAGATATTTATGTTCAGTATATATTCAGCAATACTCTTATCACTGATCAATTTTAATATTTTTACTAATTATGTCACCATCATAAGTGGAGACACGTTGTTATGGTGCGTTTTGCATGTTTTTGCCTCGTTGTTTTAATTAGGATTGTCAGAATGGAAGAGGCAGACTTTGAATGTATTTAGTAGACTGTACCTGTACAACTGTCCTATTTAATGTGAAATGAAAGACTCACTCCCGTTATAATTTTGTTTATATAGTACTTGTTTTAGTTCTTCCAAATGTACTGTAATGATTATTCAGTACAAACATTTGCCAGCTAGTTTGTTTTCTGCAAAGATTTATTTATTCAATTAGGTTCCAAGTCATAAGATAAATTGAAATGCAGAAAGACCATTGAACTGAAGAATTTTAGATTCATGAATCTCTTGGAAACTCTACAAGAATACTCGTGTTGTATTGCTACTGTAAATTTATGTATGCTATATTATATTTGTTAATATTTATACTTGAAGCAATCTCATTCTCAATACAAAATCGATGACAGGTTGTTTTGATGCAGTATGGCAGGTCCTGCTATACTAGTAGTTTGTATGCACTAGGACAGACCTATTCATTATATTCCATATTTATTGGCTGGATTTACCTGGCCCTACTTTGATATTGTTTTGTTGTGTTGTATCATTATATAAATGTTGTGTTAGATAACTTAAGGGGCCAAAAAGTATATGGGTAAACACAGAAAATTTAGTCTTTTTTTTGTTTTAGTTTTTATTCTGTAAGATGTCGATATTTTAATGTTAACAAACATTTTTATTATCATTTTATTATATGATTTCCCATAATCCTTTGTACAACGTCTGCTAATAACAGGTGACCTCATAGTGATAGTGACAATTTACTGAGCTTTTCTTATTGGCAGCAAAGGATCATGGGATATTTGAAAATGGTTGATAGAAAAATCAAAATATGGGTTTACCATACTTAATAACTGTTAAGTGATACATGTACTTATACTCATCCCATACATGTGCTTATATTAATTCCATACATGTGCTTATACTCACCCCATACATGTACTTATACTCATTCCAGACTTGATGATTCAAAGGAAACATCTGGCTTTGTATTTGTTTTATAAGCTATGTCAATATACATATACATCATATATTTAATACAGATCTCTGTTTTGTGATCACATATATACATATTCCTGGTTACAACAAGATAAGATGTATAAGAACAGACCATTAAACCCATCCTCGGAACACAGGCCTCTAGAACTAGTACCTCCTTCTTCTTGGAAAAATAATGCAACAATGACTCCAAAAGAACATTAAATTAAAAAAGGTCAAATTATTTTCCTTATTTATTGAGCATCTTTTACAATTGTCCAACCAGTGTATTCTCATTTGATTCCTCCCCAAATACAACATCTTTAGGACTATTAAAGATGCAATTTATGATAAGATAGTTGGATAATTTTTTAATATTTTTGAGACATAACTTTTTTGAAAAATATTATCAAAAGTTGAAATTTTATTTGTTTTCAAATCACATTCTTAACTTTTATTTTGTTTTCACAACTTTCATCACCTTGAAGATGCAAACTTCGCCATCCAGCAAACTCGCAATGACATTTTGTGCGAATAAGTGATTTTTGTGAATACAAAAAGATTTGAATTGCAACAGAATAGAAATATAGATTGAAATACAAATTGCAAATGAGTTGCTTGACCAATAAGGTCTCAGGTTTACGATTATTTCATGTCGAAGACATGCCCACGTTTGAATACCTCTGGTCCAATCATACAGGGTTGAAATTCTGACATTGTGTTTCAGTTTCATTATTTTTTCTAGCCTTTTGCCTAAAAATACCTACATATAACATAAAGAGTAAATATACCTTTGTTAGCTTATTTTAATTATCATACATGCATTTTGATTCATATTTTTGGGTTATTTTGAAAGTGTACAGGGTTTTAGTAATTTCAATTTACTGATTGAATAATAGATTAAATGTCCATGTATCCTTTGTATGTAACATTAAAACACGCTTTAATGTCTTGATTAATTTAATAATTTGTTTAATTTAAGTTACTCAAATTCCACATGCTTTCATGATTTATAATTTAAGCAATCAAGAAAAAAGAAAGTATGAATTCATATGTTACATTGTATTTCTGTTTTCTTGCAGGTCATGTATTTTACAGCCACCTTCCCTTATGTGGTACTATTTATCCTATTTGTATGTGGGGTGACCTTAGATAATGCGGGACAGGGAATCATACTCTACCTTCAGCCTGACTGGCATTATCTAGAAAAGGTATGGTGCTTTAAATAGACATTTGGGAAAGTTGTCCAAGTCCAAAGCAAACAGCTTTCATTACAACTCTCATATTATGACTGCATCATACTTATACACTTCATAGTTTTTGATCTTAATGAGGACACATATTAAAAGTAATTAAATTGTTTTTTTGTGTCATTCCAGTAAGAAACCAAATTGGAAAATCTTAAAATTAGAAGCAGGGCACTGATAAAAAGCATGCAAATTTAGAGATGTTCAGTGTTTGGATATAGAGATTACACTCAGTAATATATTGTAATTTTTTTTCATTAAGGTTTGGAATGATGCCGCAGTGCAAATCTTTTCTCTGTCCAACTGCTGGGGAGGCCTCATAGCCACAATAATTGTCTCAGGTATGTTATTGTTGTTTTATTCAACCTAATATCTGACACTAGAGGCTTCCATGGCTGCAAAGTGCATTTGCAAGAACACCTTTCACCATTTTTCACACATTTTTTTACAAAGTAGCACAACTTATTGCATCTTTTACACTATAGCCTCTCTAAACTCATATCTTCATTACTGTAAACTAATATTTGATGGTATTATATCTTGGGGTTTTGCAATTTTGAGTTTCTGTGGCTATTATTTTTCGCTTATCTTCAGTTTTTCAAAAATGGTATTTTCGCTTTATGGTTTTGTGAAATTATTCCCGCTTCTTTTCTAATTCCCGAAATGAATTTAAGAATCCAAGAACTAGCAAAAAATGCGAAATATAGTGTGTGTGTGTTTGTCCTGATGATGAATGGTTATTTTAACCATATAATTATCCCACAATATGAAGTTTGAGGGGGATATAAAACCATTTGTCCGTTCATCTGTCTGTTCATGTGTCCGGGCAATAACTCATATACCAGTAGACGGATTTGATTAAACTTTTAAAGGCTTATGCGTAATAGGTGTAGGACCTTTGCTCTGGAAGGAATTTTCAGTATGGTTGCTAGATGCTAAAATTTTATATGCTGCTATCTAGGGACAGATGAGCTCTGCCCGAGAAGAAATTTTCAAGATTGCAGCTGAATTTCAATATGGCCATCATTTTTCAGAAAAATCATTATGTTTGATAACTCAGATACCAGTGGATGGAAATTTGAGATGCTGACATGCTCTGTTCGGTGGGATTTGCTACTCCACTGAGTTGCTGTTTTAATAGTTTTTGACCATATCATAGTGGTGAATAAAAAAGTCATTGATTTATTAGTAAAAATAATCAGCTTTTTATTGTTAATTTATAATGTGATATGATATACATCCTATGATAAATTCATTGGAATTTGACTTTGAAGCAAATATACAACATGGAATGATGAGAGCAAAACAGTATTTTAGAATTGTGACAATTTATGAGTTTATCTCTATTTTTTTACATTTTGAATAGCTTGAACCACTATAAAATACTATAAACAGTGCAAAACAATGTCTAGTCTTTTGCATTTTTAAGTGTGTTAGCATGTGTCACATACAGTAAAACCTTGTCTAATCCTTCTTTTGGACCAGCCAAAGGTGTTTGAAGTAGAATGTTTTTAGCATTTTTTTTCAACATATAGGTGTTCAGAGTAGAGAGGTGTTTGAGTAAATAGGTTTCACACTAGTGCTAAAATTATAATTAGTATAATTTTTTTCTTGATACTTATTGTATCGTAGACCTCTTACATTCAGTTTGTCAGTTTGGTGATTCTCTCATTTAATCTGCCTAACTAGGGGGTAATTTCAAACCCAATTGAATAAATCCGACATTGTTGTTCATTCAGTTCAACCCAGCCACCAACTTTAATGTTGTCTGGTTCAGTATGGGTTTGCCACACCGTGCCATCTAGTACACTAGGAGTTCCAGTTCTGCACATCTTATATGTGATACCAGCGGTGCTGTCAGCGTAGAAGAAACCAACTTTGTCATTAGGTTGAACCTGGAACCAAAATTTAAATGTTACATAATACTAAAAGCCCACTCTACAAGTATATACCCCTGGCCACTTCAAAAAGCATGTGAAACCATATCTAATATAAAACGTTGACATAAAAATCAACTTTTGTTATGTAACAACCATTCACAACATTGAATTACCTGAATTCTCTTTTCAGCTTCTATATGAAATGTGTTTATTCTTCTCGGATGTATTAACACTTCATTTGATCCCACTAAAGTGAAATTTAATGACAACTCATTTCGACGCCATATTTGCATGTGAACCGTTGTGTACATCTCGGAGTAAATAACCCATTTGGAGATTCCCCCTCCTCTTGTAATGCGTAGAGTGTTCATGTCAATCACAGTCAGCCAGTTTGGACCATCAACAGTGCCGTAATTCATCATTCTATTTTCTTGGTAAATTGGTACAGTTGATGATGCTTTAAGAAATGGAAGATTAAGAAACTGCATTACATACAGAGTATCCAAAATTCATTATTACAGTAAAAAGCTGTTTTGTTAGCACTATGTATAAAATGTTGGTTTTGAATAATTTTGCTGATTTAAAACAACCTACCTTCACACTTAGGGACGTTTGTAGAACAGTCTGAAAATAAATGAGTACCAATAAACTGTATATTATGGGTCCCATCATAATTCATTGATTCAGTGCAATATTATATCTAGGTCACACTTTGAAACATGTTGCTTTATTACAATAAAAATAATTCAATGTGAGTACTTTTTATCAAATATTTGGAGTGACATTTGGCCAAAATAGAAGTCACATTTAAAGAATTCTAGTTTATCATCATAGTTGCTTCAGAGTTGTTTACCAAATAGACCATCATATTGTAGGTGGAAAATGGTCTCAATTGGTAATTTCTTTGTAGATTGTGAATCATTTTGTCACCAGAAGTGGTAACATATTGTTATAGTCTCCAATCTTTTTACTGACGGTGTTTGGCATCTGTAACAAATTACAAGGTGCCGACATTTTGTCATGTGAATGCCTTGTAGGGGTTTAATATTCCCATACCTGTTACATCATACTTGTCCCTATAATCTATGTTTTTGCAATAGATCTCTGTTTTGCCACACCAACCATGTTTACTGCAACATGGATAGATCCCATCCCAGCCAGATATAGGGGAATCAATGGGGCATTCAAGGTTGTTAAACATTGGCCCACATCTACCATCTTGACTTATGATTGAAGGGTGTTGTACTAAAAATATATATAAATGTTATGGTGTCAAGCATTGGGACCAGGCTCAAGATTAATTTTAGAGGTTTGATTTATATAATGCAGCATATATATTTTATTATACTGTACAGTATTGGCCTTTTAATTTATATTATTACATTTGTTAAATGTATCTCTCTGTATCAGTTTTTAGCATTTAACAAATGTGATTCACTACCTGACATTTCCTGCTGTTTTGGTAGTGAACATAAGTCAAAACTACACTGTGTCCAGTCGTCATCCCCAGGGGCCTCATTTGGATAAGCTTTCCCACCCATGCTACGACACTGGGCCCCTATCAACTCAATGCTCCCAGTAGGTTTAGAGCTAGCATTGTCAGGACAAGAATCTGAAATCAATGCAACTTTTGCATTTTGTTGTCTTGGACGAAAATGTGACAAGCTGGAGTAAGACCATTGATTGGATTTTATTTTTCATGTATTTTTGGTGCTCAATAAGAAGGTTATCTCAGTGGTAATCATTACCCAGTTTTGATGGGATATATTGGAAGCCATTTGTCTGATCTGTGTAGCACCAGTCCATGTGGCACAATACAATGTCATCATCTTCATGATTTCCATTCACATTGCCCTCCATTATCTTACAGCTGCTGTAGGGCATCTGCATACCACCATATGCCTTCTTGGTGTTATCTGGACACTGTCCAGGCTAAACAATACAAACATCATTCATGTACATGTCCATTTCATATTTGATGGAAATACTTTGAAGAATTAATTTTTTAGGTTCACTTATATGTTAGTCTAGTGAAGGTAGTGAAAACACAGAATCATGGATTCCTATGTTAACTAAGTGATATACTTGAAATATTTGAGCTTATAAACCCATGAAATGAAATATTTAACAAAAGTGAAGATAAGTACTTTAGATGGTACAAGTCCTTTTCTCAGTCCCCAGTTGTCAACACTGCACCAGTCTATGTGACATTTCACCCAGTCATCAATTCGCTCTCCAGCCTTACTATTCCATTTGCCTCCCATATCTACAAAGCAATGGTAAGGCATTTTAAATTCATTGACCTAGAAACATTACAAAACTAGAAAAACCAAGAGTGATTATTACAAATATAGTTAGGATTCACTCCATCTCTACCTTTGCATTCTCTTATGATTGCCATGATTATACCATATCCAATCCACGTGTTCCCATAACATTGCCCTCTGCCTGCACCCATAAACATTCCCTCCAGTGATAGACCTGAAATAAAATATTTGGCAAAGACTGAAAAAACTAAACATAGCCAAAAATGATAATTTCTACATTTCTTCATTTCTACATGAGAAAATCCAGTAGCACTAAAGAATTAAACATATTGCTCAAATATAGTAACACCTACATATCATGATAGGTTTTTGCATTATATTTTAGCTTACAATATTCTTACCCGTACATCCTTTAAGTCTTGGTACAACTGTAGCAACACCATTTATGGAAGTGCATGCCATAGAGTGGAACCCATTAGTAATTTCATAACCATCATTACATTCATATGTGACACTGTCACCAATCATCAAAGAATCATCTCCAGAAACAACCATAGCATTTTCAACATTTCCAAGCTGTGCACATGCTGTAAAATGGAGTCTACTGTTATTTCCAAAATGGAGAATGTTTAAAAAGGTCATACATAAAATCGTTACATTATTACAATATGATATAAAATGATTTTTTGTCTGGTTCTCAGAAGAAACATATATGTGTAGTTTTAATGATTCTTTAGCTTATTTTTGCACATACTTTACACTTATTGTCTTATCTGAGATTGCTTCTTGTTTTAGATAGATGTCTTGGGTTGAGTTCTTTGAAATTTTACCCAATGAGAGAGTTTCATTGTGCCTTAGCCAATTCTACAAATGATGCATGTAAAATGAATATTTCATACCTTGGGAAGAGGCATATTCCTCCCTATAGTCTACACATTCAGAACATGTACAATGTGCCTCTTGCTTGCCACACCAGCCTCCAGAGCTGCAACAGGGGTAGATTCCATCCCACCCTGGGATTGAACTAGCAATTGGACACTCAGTGTTGTGAAAGTTTGCACCACATCGACCATTGGAAGAAATCTTCGAAGGATCTTGTTCTTTCAAAACAAATCAGTTATTTATTAATCAATTTGAAGCAATGGAAGACTACATGCCAAGACTATGCTGCTTGCATCTTTTTGAGGAAATCATTGAATTCAAAGATGAAATCTAACTGGGAATATTTACTTTAAATTATCCCCTCAATGGTAAGCATTTTGAGCTCTTATGCAACATTCAAATGTACTTACCTTTAACCTGTGAACATATTCCACAGGTTTTCTTGCAATAACGTGTGGCAAAGTCATTCTCTTCAGAACATAAGGTTGGCATGTGTTCCAAAAGCTGCAGACAATTATCTGCATCATCCTTACAAACGACATCAACATCTGGTAGGACACCTTTACACACATATGGTTTCTCATAGGCACATGAGGTATCATCCCAATGCCATGGATCAGTTTCCCACCACCATTTATGGATGTATGTACAGTTATCCAGTCCTGCGTCAGCATATGGTTCAGCCACATTCCAATCTGTATATGGTTCATATGATCCATCAGACCATTCCCAGCGGTTTTCCTCTTCTTGATCATTCCATCCTATCCAGTATGAACCAGTGACACCACTAAAATTAAATATAGATATAATTAAGAACTACAATTAAAAATCTGAAATTACTCAGTAAATGGAACTATCATATCATTATCATATCATAATCATAGATAGACAGTATACATGTTGACATTTTCTTTTTATGCCATCCACAAAAGTTCTTGTGAGGACATAGAGAACAGTTCCATCCATCTGGGCAATGACAAAATTCATTCGGACCGTTATTGTTTATGTATATGCCCCAAAGGGAGTACGAGTTCTGCTCAACTTTTCAAAATGGCCCCCAGTTTCAAAATGGCCACCATATTAGTGTAAATCTTACAGTATTTTAGGTTCTAACATTTATAAACTGTAATATTAATATGTTTTTAACACCAAAAGATTGTAAAGGATATTGATTAAGTTGGTTAAGTCGATTTTTGTAAAACTGAAAAAGTAATAGAGGGATTTTGTGAAAATAGCAGCCATGGCTGTTTGATTAGGGTTTGGTATTGCTGTTATCTAGTTTGATTTTACCCCTTTGATGCTACATTCTGTATGAAGTCATCTTCAGCTTCATCATGCATACTGGCTAGGTGACCTCCCTCTGTAATACAATACTGTTCAGCCATATACCAGGTATGGGCACTGGGGAATGCCTTGTAGCAGTTCTCATTGTAATAACTCCAACCATATTCGCAACCATCTAAAATATACAACTCAATCAAGAATTCTTTGATTATGGTGTCCTCAAGGATTGGTCATTCATATCATGGGCTTTCAACTCAGCTAAATCTTACAAAAGCAGAAATCCTATTATGAAGTAAAAACTGTTTGTTTATTACATTATTTCTTGATTAACACTTTATAATGGAGTAAAATTACATTAGTGGCATATAGATGATTGGTTACAAAAAATCATATGAAACCTTACCCTCAGCCATTCTTTTGCATATAAAGTCTACAGTATTATTGCAGTTCATATCCTCCCAATATCTCCCATCATTTGGAAAGACAGCTGTGCAATCTTCTTCACCATTACCCCATCCATTATCTGGCTTGTAACGATACCACCACCTAAGATATGCAGATGGATTCCCATCCAACCACTTGAATCTTGGATATGTGTTGTACTCGCCAACATCCTCTGTTAGACCTACCCAAAGATCATATACTCCATGGCTGAAGAAGAGAACATAACACTTGAATACTACAAGTCTATAAAGACATATATATTAATTTCACATTTATTTCAAATGATAGGCAAATGATGACCAATGTTTGTTTAAGAGCACTGGCATCTCTAGCACCGTTCCACAGCTGGATGACTCTAACTGCAGTTTATAGTACAGGGTGTTCAAAAAAAAACGCAACCCAAAGAAATCGCTATATCTTGGAAAATACTTATCCAATTGTGTTCATTTTTTCAGGAAAGAAAGAAGAGACTATGTGTGTATAGCTCCTGCTGTTAGTTAGTTGTAAAACATAATGCCTTGGACACCTTCTCAAAAGTCATTAGTATTGGAAAGATACGAAAAACGCAACCAGAGGTGACTGCCAGAGCAATAAACCCTACTAACTTTCTAACCATGGTGTTTTGGCACTTCAGATTCACCACAAATTATCTTCATATAATGTGTAGTGAATTGGGGGAGTTTCATTAAAATCACTCCAGGGACTTTACAGTCATGGTCAAAATGCCTTCTTAAGTCTGACTGAACCAGGGTGTTTGACTGGGTTTTGAAAGCATTTCAACCAAAACTGTAAAGTCCCTGGAGTGAATTTGATTTCACTCTACAGATTTATCATACATTGAATGAAGATGATTTGTGCCAAATTTGAATAGCCAAAAGACTATGGTTAGAAAGTTATTTGGTTTTATTGCTGTGGCAGTAGTCTCTGACTGCGTTTTTCGTATCTTTCCAATACTAATGTCTTTTGAGCATTTGTCCAAGGCATCATGTTTTACAACTAACTAACAACATGAGCTATACATACACAGTCTCTTCTTTCCTTCCTGAAAAAATGAACACAATTGGACTAGTATTTTCCAAGATATAGCGATTTCTTTGGGTTGCATTTTTTTTGAACACCCTGTATCATCTAAGATGGTGGCCAAAATTCTTTCGTTTCAGATAAACTTCCAATTTCAGGTAAACTAAGTTGAATCTGGATTCCAAATTTTTCTACATGCAAACAAATGAGGCTGTGATTGTAAACAGTCACTTAAGATATTGTCAAACACCCGTGATATTGGGAGAAATTTGGAAAATGGCCTCACTTAGAATGACTCTGAACTTGATGATGACGTAGGAATGACACTAACTGAAACAGTGGATGACACTAACTCTATATGGGATGAATACATGCACGGGCATCTGAGTTAGTGTCATCAATGGTGAATATCATGTTTGAGTTAGTGTATCATCAACTTCAGTGAGACTCATTCTAAGTGAAGCTGTTTTCCTTAAAATTCTCTATTAATGCGGGTCTATGAGCATTTTTCCTGGCTGTTTACAATTGTTACCTTGTGAGATTGCATGGCGAACCATCTGGATTCCACATTGAAGTGAAATAGTTGTTTTCTCAAAAATGAAATGAATAAAAGAATTTTGGCTGCCATCTTGATGATACTAACTGCAGCTTGTCATCCAGCTTTGGAACAGTGTCTATGATGTGTTGTATAGATTGTGTTTGTCTTAATTATGTTAATTAGTTATGTCTGTAATTTGGAAGCTGTGTACATCATTAATATAAATCATTTGTGCATACTGTCCATTTACCTTTCTGCTAATTCATACACATAGACATGTTCTTCCCGGCTTAGAAGACTAACTAAATCAGCATTAACATCATTACATTTAGCTGCTGCATCCAAGAAATTGAGTGACTCAGTGAAAACTGCATAACAATTTCCATTGAATTCATACCATCCAACTGGACAAACTACAAATAAAGTCCATAATGTTTTGAACTACTAACTTTCAAAAGCATAATGCTTCAACTTGGATATTTCTCATATCTTTCTAGTATTTCTAACTCTAGCTTTGGAAGTGGAAATGTAACAAAAAATTTTTGATGTCCCAATTTTTGCTGGCATAAAAAGTGATATCCCATTTTATTCTGAGCATAAACATTTTCTGCTGGTATTATTTAGAAAATGTATAATGGTAGTTCAAGATGTAGTTCATTCTGACATAGATTTCTGAACTAATGTTAGTGAAGAATTCCTAATAGAATTGAGAATTAATAGCTAGAATGGTTCTGTTTTGCCCCATCAAACAATTTCCAAACTTGCACTTGAAATTCATTTCTGTCTATATGTGTTACAGTCTGTCATGACTGTATCAATCATAACAATGGAAATTAGGTGAATTCTATCTGTTACAGAGAGATTATCTATGATGTCACATGATAATTTGATTTCTAAGAAATGAAGCAGAGTTCTATCTAAAACAGAGATGCTTTGTGATGTGACCATAAATTATCTTGTTTCCAGTGTGATGATTGATGATGTCATCACAGATACTTTGTGATGTCATCATGAATAACCTAATTTCCATTGTGATGATTGTTGATCACATCACAGAATGTCAACAAATAGACAGAAATGAAGTTGAAATGCAAATTAGAAAATTGTTTGCTAGGGCAAAACAACTCAGTTTCAGCTTATATTTCTTAATTCTATTGGGAATTCTTAACTAACAGTCTGTGTCAGAATGATGTGTCTTAAATCTTGGACTACCATTAAACATCACATCCTTAATAATACCAGCATAAAAAGGGATATCACTTTTTATGCTCAGCATAAAATGGGATATCACTTTTTATGCTCAGCATAAAATGGGATATCACTTTTTATGCCAGCGTAAATGGGTTTTATGCTCAGCATAAAATAGGACATCATTTTTTATGCTGGGCATTAAATTGATATAAAAAAACCTAACAAATCCGGGTATTTGTTTCAGTCCAATTTTATATAATTCGCTGTTTAAAAATCTTATATCTCTCTTGTGATCCCTTGTATGAGTACCTCCACATATCACTTTCCTTCCACTCCATGTACCGTCTGTTAAAGCTTCACGTTCGTCAAACCCAAATGCTTGTAGGTTGGTGATTTCTTCCCCATTGGTCTCACTACAGACAAATCTGACTTTGTCTCCATCTTTATAGGTTCCACTAGCTGGGATTGGGTCGAGTGTATAAGCATTGGGATCTTCTACATAAATACTTGGATTGATAAAAGCTGAAAGTATGTATGTGGAAAATTTAATAGGTTCATGTTGCTTAATCAAGATACGTTGACACTAAAAACGAATATTTATAAACTGATTTATCAGTATTTCTAAATTTTATTCTATCTATAACTTTTGGTCGGGTACCTCTATCTAGGCTACTCTTTTGGTAATTGTTGCCTTAGTAATTAGAATGTTAATTTATTTTTTCACCAACCTCTTTCTGTCACTCCCAATGTACACAGAGAACATGATTTCTTGCAGCCATATAAACCCTCATCAGATTCACAGTATTCTTCAGTCAACAAATCAGCACAATTGTTATATATATCATGACAAGTCCCTACAAAAGTACAGGAAAGTATTTTCCACTAGCATAGCGTATCATAGTTGTAAAATGAATTTGTTATGGTCAAACTGATGAACAAATAACCATAAAATTAAACATTGTATATGTTTAATAATTTTGTACTTAAAAGGTTTTCCTTACCAAGATTAGCGACGTCGCAAAAGTCTTGAGTGCAGAAGTGATCTGTATAACACCATGGCCTGTATAATTCATTTGGGTTTCTACAGTAGTTGTGTGATCCCAGACCTTTTTCATAGTACCTAGAATAGTGAAACTTCCATGTCCATGAGCATTTTCGTGTATGGATTTGATAATATTTAGAATTACACCCCAGGTTTAATTGCTTGGTTATAAAGCATTTTAACAAAAAAAGCTTTGTAATGAAGGATCTTGGAGGTGTTACTGCAGACAAAATATTTTGTTAACCTTTCCAAAATCATTTTAACACTGGGTATAATGGGTACAATTGTCCTCATGATTCATATATCATATTTGATTTATATAAACATGCTTTTCTTGTTTTTATCTCATCGAACGAAGTTCAGAGGGATATAGGGAACGCCTCCGTCCGTCCGTCCATCCGTCCGTCCGTCCATCCGTCCGTACGTCCGTCCGTCCGTACGTACGTACGTCCGGGCAATAACTCAAATACCGTTGGCCCGATTTTCAAAATGGCCGCTCATTTCAAAATGGCGGCCATTTTAGTGCCGAATTTACAGAAATTTAGGTGCAATATGTAAAACTGTAATAGCAATATGTTTTAGATGTAAAAAAATTATATAGGACATTAATAAAGCTAGAAATGTAGATATTAAAGAAGCACATGGCAGCCATCTTGAAAAATGGCGGCCTTTACTCGTTATTTTACGAGATTTGCTGTAACTCGAAAAGTAGTGGAGCGATTTTGTTCATATTTGGTATGTGAATACTATAAACATTGCACACTGTCTAAAGACACTTTTGGTAGAAGGTGGCCATTTTAAAAAATGGCCGCCATTTTTAAACTTATGACACTTTTAGTAGAAGGTGGCCATTTTGAAAAATGGCCGCCATTTTAATGTATTTTATAATAATTCGAAAAGAAGTGAAGTGATTTTGTTCATATTTGGTATGTGAATACTGTAAGCATGGCACACTGTCTTATGACACTTTTGGTAGAAGGCGGCCATTTTTCAAAATGGCCACCATTTTAATGTATTTTACTATAACTCGAAAAGTAGTGGAGCGATTTTGTTCATATTTGGTATGTGAATACTATAAGTATGGCAAATGGTCTAATGACACTTTTGGTAGAAGGCGGCCATTTTGAAAAATGCCTGCCATTTTTGCTATATACTTTGTTTGTAAAAATGCCATCTATGGCTGTTCGATGGGATTCGCTACGCTTTGGCGTTGCCGTTGTTCTGGTTTGATAAGCTTACTCAGGTATAAATGGGTTAACAGCACAGTGGCGCACATCCATCCAATTCATACATCTGCGGTTTGCTTGTGTGTATGATACAGTGCCGCGATATGTGTCACCCTTTAGTTCATGGTTGTAATAAACATCAATATCTGCATCTAAATTCAAATAAAATGAAATTGTTACTTTATACAGAAAGCCACCACCAAACGCTGTATGAACTAGTAGAAAATAGTATAAGATTTTTAATTTTTCAGGAATCATATTGAGCACATGAAACATATCAAACAGCATATCAACCACAAATTTTTTTTCAGAATAGCAGTTAGGTTTTGGGTTGTGAATTAGAATAATCTTTTACAAATGTCAGATACTAATTTAAGTAATAAGATTGATTCGTCATTACTTGTATTATATCTGACGATGGCCTTGAATCCACTTGCTTCTAAAGTCTTGTCAGTACTTAGAGTAAGCCACATCAGGTTTGTTTCTGCAGTCCATGATCTTGATATGTTTCCACCACAAACCCTGAATAAAAGTTGCATTCAGCCATAATGATATCTTTTTTTAGTGGTAATATTTATCAAAATGTCCAATTGTTATCATCGCTACACAGAAATCTTGATCATGTCTATTTGAAAGTTTGAATACCAATAAGAATAATTACTTAATCCCTTTCTGTCCTGGTAAGCTTTGTCTGATTTCAACAAAATCATTGCAGTCAGTTTTTAGATTTGATACACCATCTAAACCACCATGAACATCAAATGTCTCAAAGTAGACATTCACTCGTGCCTCTTTTGGAGCCTGTAAAATAGTTATCATTTAGCTATCATGTTTTTCATGTTATATTAAAAGGATTGTTTTATCAAGGAAGAAGGGCAGGTGTATAATGATTATGCAGTATTTATGTTTATATATATATAATATATCCTAAGACAATTTCATATTTCATTCCATGCAAGTCTTGAAGATGTGTCACAAAGACAAGGACCTTGTTTTCCTTTCCAGAGGGTATATTATTTTGTTATTCAACATTAGAAAGTGTAGACGTTTGAATTAACATACAATGAACAAGAGTGTTATATACAGTACTTACTTTTATAAACCAATTACATATTTGCTCTGGATTGTAATTGTTGGGATAATTAGGTGTCTGGATAGTTGCAGAGGGATTGTTTTCATCTAGTGTAATCTCATAATTGCAGCCTACAATAATATATTTGTCAATTTTGTTACATACTTAATACAAGTATTTTGCCATTTATAAGAAATGTTTTTATTATCTTGAAGCAAATGAATTGGATACCAAAGCTTTTGCTTACCATATTTGAGAGGGTAATAGTAGCAAAGTAGAAATGAGTACTTATTGTGCCAGACAGGATCATATGGGAATGCACCAGTTCGTTTGTGATTAGGATCATCTTTTTCATCAAATTGGATGTACTCAGTAGTAACAGCCATGCCTAGATAGAGGAATATTTTATTCTCATGTTTACTTAAATGTCTATATGAATGACAGCATTTGAAGCAGTTGAACTGTGCCTTAATTCCAGTACCGAACGTGATATAAAACAATCAATAATTATTACAGTCTAATCTGCAGATTTTTCCAAGTGTAGAATCTATCCAAAGACATCGGTAAAAAAGTAAGCCCTGAAAGGGTTCCAAACATTCAGCCATGTGTAAATTGTGGTAATCTTACCTGCAACAGCCTGACAAGATGCACCTTCATGTCTAAACAAGTAGAAGGGCTTGGAATTTGGAAGCTGAATCGGCCAGAACATATCGCTATCAAACGGGTCATTCCTGCAGCAGAACTCGTATTCCGTATCCTGAAATATGTTTTAGTGGGATATTTATATGATAATTACCTTAAGAGGTCAACCCTTGGTCTTGTGAGAGTGTACTTACTCCTGAGATATTTGTAGAAATCCCTATTTGTAGAATTCTTACATTTATTTAGCAGTAGTGATTTGAACAGGCATGAAAGTAACAAGCAAATCAATTTTGAAATCTGAAAATGCACGCACACTGAAAAAAGTAGTAAGAGGTAATGAATCAATCAATATAGCTTTGAGTTTTAGTAATGCATATCTAGCTATGTGATTTATATTGCAAAGAATGGCTTACATCTTCCAGGACTCCATCTGGTACTGCTCCACTATGGTTTCCTTGCTTAGAATCATTATCATCAATTCGCACAGAACCCATTTTGAAACCTTAATATAAAAATATGAATACATTTCATAATATTTATTATGATTGTGATGATTTTTTGAGAAAATAGACATGTTTAATGACCATACTCTTAACTTTTAAAAATAAAAAATGCTCCTGTTTAATTTGCTTCATAATGTGATTATGTAAGTCTACCTTTTGGACAATCACCATGCTTGTAAATACAATATCTTCCTTCGGGCCAATCATATGTGCCATCATCTCTTGTGTCAATACAGAACTGATCCTTTGACCAATCTCTTGTTTCATCATAGGAATCAGCATGTATATGTTTCTTGTAGTTTCCAGTGAGGACATTGTTTCCCTCCCCATAGTGTAATCTGTACCCTGTGCTGAAATCCCCCTCAGGACATCCAGTATTAGGCAATGGAAGACCATATGTACCAGAGGGCCATTTGGTAGGAGCAGTTAGAGCTGAAATAAAAGTTGTTATCAATTTTGTTGAAGTTACTGTATCATATTTGTAAATTGTCTCTTATTCTCCTGCTGAGATACACAATTTATTTTCATAATTTTTATTTTCAGTTCTGTCTTTGGCTGTCATATTATATTATAATAGGATTTTATAATAGGACCTCAGTAAATGGTATGTTCAATATTACTTACAAGGGTCATCAAATTCCTCACATCTTTCCCCAGTGAGACCAGGTAAACAAATACATGAACACTGGTCATTCACCCAGCCAAGATATCCTCCATTCTTGCAGCCTGCTTCTTTCTGCTCTACGGTACACCCAGCTATGGGAAAAGGGTATTTTATTGATGACAAACTGTTGGATTCAATATTTTTCTTCTTAGAACTAAGTTCTGGGAATTTATCTGTCATTTCATTATTTTTCAACCAATCTACTTTAAATTTTCATGGTAAATGGAGAATGTAATTTTGGGTTGGATAAAAGTCTCATTGTCATATGATGTCACAATGGATAATTATTGTTACTATAGCAACATGACAAATGTTGTAGTGGGTCAAGCAAAACTTAAATTCATTTTTTTTTTACTTGACCCAAAAGTATGATTAATTAATACCTATTTGGTAGACAAATTTCTTTGATTTTTTATGTTTTTAAATATTTCTAACTTTAGTTTGTAAAGTGACATCTGTATTGTGATATAATAGTGCACTTTGCTCAATTTTCTTATCATTGGTCAGACTCTCAAAGTCACAATCACGACTCAAAATAGCAAGGAGTTATCTTCCATTATGACTATGCTTCTTCCCACTCCTCACATTGTCCATACTACTCTTGAAGAATTAGGGTTCACACAAGTTGTTCATACCCCATATTCACTATATACAGTTCACCAGATAAACCACCATTAGGTTCACTAAATTTGACTGTTGAAGCATCATATGAGAGATCATCATGAGTTTGGTTCTGATGAGTGACTGATCTCAACAGCTTGAGCAAATCTTCAAGGGATACCAAAGGGAGGACTGGAAAGCGTCTTTATGGACTAGGTTTGACAACAATGCATGTGCGTCCAGGCCTATGGAAATCAATATAAATGAAATGATCCTCCCAGCAATGAAGAATACTTCTGAATAAATGACTTCAAGAGCACTGTTCTGCCTCTAGTACAATAAGTTTGAACCAACCATCTTGGCAAGATGAATATGTTCTAGCAGGAAATTTTCAAATTAGCGTTAGTCAAATTTTGCTGACCCGTGGACCACTTTTACCTTTTTATCACACCATCGGTGGGATATAGTCGTCATACTGGTCGTGGTCGTGGTCGTGATCGTGATCTTGGTCGTGATCTTCCTGCTTTTTGTCATCGCCATTTAAGGAAAACTGCTCATCAGATTTTCTCCAAATTCGCAGAGATGATAGAGGATATCAAGTACTAGAGCTGATTAACTTTTGGGCGGCCATCTTGTTTTCTGGTGGCCATTTTGAAGGATTTTCGAAAAAACCTTGTCATCGCCATTTCAGGAAAACCGCTCATCGGTTTTCCTTCAAATTTACACAAATGATAGAGGATATCAAGTACTAGAGCTGATTAACTTTTGGGCGGCCATCTTGTTTTCTGGTGGCCATTTTGAAGGTTTTTTGAAAAATCTTGTCATCGCCGTTTCAGGAAAACCGCTCATCGGATTTCCGTAAACATAATAGGAGAACAGTTTTTCTGGTTCATAGTGTCTGCCTATTTGATGGTGTGATCTCGTTCACATCCTGTGCCTTGTTTATAATTACAATAAAATAATTTGACGCAGGGATATGTATATGAAACATTGTCTGTCAATTCAGAATTATACAATGTACATTTGCTGGAAGTTTCAACTGAATTGGTTGAAAAATATTGAAATGACAGACCAATTCCCAGAACTTAGTGATCACCCTGTATATCACTCTGTAGTATATAGGTTCTTTTCAATTAAGGTCAAAATTAATAAACGCTTTTGTAGACCAATCAGCAACTTTTGAACTTCAAGAGTTTTAACTTGTAAATGAATATAATATCAATACTTAACTGTCTCCAAAAATATTAATTCGGCCATTCAATACAATCAACTAAGACTCTGTACATCAGAGTTAGAACCAGACAGGTATGTCAATTTATGGATATGAGTCACATCCTTCAATGCACAATTCCATTTAGGCACCATATGACTGCCCACTTACTTGGTTCTAACAATTTACAAGTATATCTTACCGTCACACTCATGTGCTTTTGTGATGTCCATGAGGTCATAGAAACCATAATGGTAATGCCTTGCAGTCCAGAGGTACTCCCATCTGGGATCTAATGGCTCCATGGTTGGCCATTCAGTTCCAGAGGCAAACTAGAAAGGAAAGCTAGAATGTTGATGTTTAAAAACCCTTTCTAAAACTCAAATTTCCATCAAACTGTAACTCCAATAATGTACATGTACTTCAGTAGAATATTTATTTTAACAAAAATATCATTGATATGAATAAACTTACCCATCTGTCATAGTTCATAACTGAAGCTATGTCAACGGGATGGAAACTTATATAGTCGTTCACATGATGGAACTCATATCTGTGCCAACTGTGTTCACTAATTGTAGCTGTTAAGAAAATGTAGCTTTTTTCAGAATAAGTGAGATATTGATATAAACATCTATTTTCAATAAGATGTTTTGGATATTGAAGAAATGTTTCAGATTGTGAACCTTCTTAGAGTTATACTTTAGTGTTCGATGAATGATTCTACTGAACAAATTTATAAGCTTACGATCAATGTTTTCTTGTCTAAACTTCAGACGCTCCCATGCTTTTTCAGCTTTTTGCTCATGTACCATTCCCAACATATGTCCAAATTCATGTAGTGCCAAACCAATGCCACAATCCTATATAATATATGTACAGAGCTTTAAATCATTCATTTATGACTGACACTCTATACAGTATTATTATTAACAGACATACCAGTATTGTTGTCAGTCAGGTTTAAGGCAGTGCAGCGCAACCGGGCTCCGTTTTTGATGCTATGGTAGTGTGCTCGTGGAGTCGGTTTGCTGTCAGTTTTTAGTTTATAGGCATGGGCGGACTCCAGGTAAAAACCCTTGTGTGAGTCCTAGTTGTAATGTTCCAATTCTGATTTATAACCCCCTTTTTTGGTAGTGTAACTGCCACCAGTGAACTAGGTTCACAACTAAAGATAATAAAGAAACTAAAATATATCACAATGGGGTAATCACATATCCAAACGGGATATCATCTCTTGTTTGTTCTCTTTTACGAAAAGCCTAATGGGATAATCACATTGAGATCATCCCATTGGGGATTCTTTAAATAACCAATATACCTGTGAATTTCTCAATTAGGGAAAGTCACTCGTCGGTTCCTGTTTGGTATCTCCCCAATCGGGATCCTCAAATCACGATGGGATTACTTAGCTAGGCTATTGTCTTTTTATACTAGCATATTCTCAATAGTAACCTTGTTCTCCTACCAATTAGGATATTCAGCCTTCTGACTGCTCTTATCCCGATTCAGCAGGTCTTTTTATTGAAGCCTATCTCGCTTCCCAGAATGTGAAACTCTGACGTAATCTATACCGCTGATCACGTCGTAAAATATGGTGTGTGCGATTTAAATACCTGACCCAATTCCTAGGGTACATTCACAAACAGATTCATAAAACGTCATAAACTCACTATGACTTTGTCTCTCATAGACCACCGTGTATTTTGCAACAATATATACCGCCAATAAGCTCTCACTGGCTTTATCATTGGCACCAATCAATCACACAACTTCCACGTTGCAAAATACCAACAGAACTTCCATTAGTTCATTATATCCTTTTGTGATTCAGTATTCACACCACAACCGACACTCTTATTCAATCATTCACATCCGAAGGGAATCAACCAAGCCCCATCAAAAGGGAACCTTAATTACCCATAAGATATCTCGTATTGCAATCTAGCAATCTCATCTGAGATGTTACTTTCATGAGATGTCCATCGAATCTCTTTACCCGTTGAGATTTTGCATCAATCTGTTCTCAGAGATGTGCCTTCTTTGAGATTTTGCATAATCTGATCTCATTCAGAGATGTGTGTTCTTTGAGATTTATTTCCATCTCTTCTATCTTATTCTCAATCTGAGATGCTCTGAGATACCACTTGTTTGAGATTTCACAACAATCTGTGCGTTCTTTTGAGATCCTACACAATCTGATCTCAATCTGAGATGTTACTTTCATGAGATGTCCATCGAATCTGAGGAGCTGTGGTTCTGCTCCCGTATTTATACTCAGTATTCAATTGTGACGTCAATGGCATCTCTAAATGCACACTAACTTTCAATTCCATGGAACACCGTCAGCATTATGGAGATAGGTAGCAGACGAAAATACTCTCAAAATACGCCAAAATTACGAACGTGACCCACCCTGAATGGTTCTTTATATTCACAGTTTACATTGGTTATTTGACTTGTATTGCGTAATTAAATGTACCATTAGAAAGTGAATTATGGGGCAATTTCGTTACACTACACCCCCCTTGGACCCAGCGTCCCGCTGGCCGCGTTACGTATAATTCACGTTGAAGGGTATCATTTATCGAATATAGGTTACTATCGAATTTCGCAAATACAAGTTATACTTATTCTACTTATCTAATGCAAAACAGTTGGCAAGTTAATATCACATCGTGAACATATGCCACCGTGAGTTTTTCAATTACCTCACTTTTAACTTTTTACGTCAGGAAACATCACTGGCTCCTGAACTATTCAATCATAATTGCAACTCATTTTATCGCATGATACATAGTAAAATTATAAGGCGTAATTTCACAATGTGACTTGTTTTCAAATTAGTCAATCAAACTATCAAATTAATACTGTATTCTGTTTTCACATTCCAATTTCTCCAATCCCATTAGGAGTTTCCACTATTTGACACTATGGAATTCCTCAATCGCATGGCTCCAGCATACGATTGGTTTCACCCCATCGTGTTTTAATCATTTCAATTTATTTTACATTTCTGTTATCAGCATTCATGAAATCGTATTAATTTCCAAGTATTGACATAATAAGACGATAGGCTTTTATATTTTCAAAACCCATCCTTAGTGGCCCCACCGCGCCACTAAGCATGTTGGACTCCGACTGCCTTCCAACTCTGGTTGACATAGAATAACAACATTTTTATCAACACGATCACTTAATTAATGTTAATTACAATGCGATAAGCTGCTATATTTCCACAACTTATCCTTGGGGACCCCGCCACGTCGCCCAAGCGTGGGAAACTCCGACTGCATTTTCCCTCCGGCCAACATATAACATTTTAACCTATAATTTGCCAACTGCTTTTAACTCAACAATAAACTTGGAACGTTAATGAACGGTTTTTGTCAATATAACAATTAACATTTCAACTTTGTTTTCTTCTTTTTATATGCCTACGTTTTAATAGCTTAGAAATGGTTTTCTACGGTTATTGCTTTTTTTAACTTTGTTTCTGGGTGTATGAAATGATAGACCGTCGTTTTGTGAAATAATCGCCATGGTGCCGGCAATTTGATTTCCACGTCGGAATCACTAATGGAAGCGCCCGATGGGGACGTCCCAACCTGCGACGTACTCGCAATCGGCTGATTTCCTTTTACAGGGCTATTTTCAGGCTTACTTGCCGTACTTGGTGTTAACTTTACTTTAGTCAACCCCGGTTCTGGCTCTAGTGGTGGCACCGGAGCAGGGCAACTGGTCATTTCTTTAATGACTTGATGTAGCTGTTCCGAGGAAGTTTCCTCTTTGGACGGCTCTTGATCGTTAGCCGCAGTGTCATGGCAACTTGATTTGTCTAGGAAAGAGGCAATGTCTTTCGACATTGACTTTTCCCTACCATCGTTAATTGTCAAAGCCCCCTCTTCGTCGGAATCACTTCCCGATTCGGAGGAGCTGTCACTTTTTTCCAACCGTTGCTGTTTTGCTGATTTCCCTTGAGGGGAAGGAAGGCTTTCAGAAGAAGTTCTTTTCGGAGCCTTCACAGCTGTCCGACTGTATGTTCGGACCGGCGTTTGATCAGTTTGATTGCTGGTTTTAGGCTCGGCCACCTTACTTTCCCTGGATAACGCACATGCGATTATCCGCTCATGGGAAGTAGGCGCCAACTTAATACCCTGCTTATTTTGAAGCCAGGATTGCCACTGATCGGCTTTAACGTTTTCAAATGACATATTTTGGATCTCCTGAGATGTTATCCAGTGGGGAGAACCGAGGTTTTCTAAGTGAGTTTTGAGCTGATATCGCGTTCTCGACAATACCACACAACCCTCAATCGGGCAAGGGAACATGGATGTTTCCCGATCATGTTTTAACCACAAATGCTCAAGCATTTTGGTAAGCTCCACTCTCATCTTGCACTTATTACAGGCCCGAGTGGGCACTGCGGACAGATTGGGTTCCCTATTGGGCGTCCCCAATCGATCATGGACATTGTGTGATCGAGACATGACAGGCAATTTGCGTACGGTCTGTTTCGTTCGGGCCATTCAGGCGAATTGTCGATACGTCGGATTTTCTCGCTTTATATAGGATCCCGGCTTATGTTAGTGACGTCACAATCACACTTCTACGAAGAACAGACTTACATCGTGTCATTAACTTTTTGTGACGTCACGCAATATCAATCACGGTGTAATCTCATTTGTTCTAGTAATTTTCACGTGTTAAAGCTAAATTGTTCCAACAATCTATTCGTTCCGTAGTTGCCAAACGTTCCTTAATATAAAAACTAATTAATCGCCATACTTAATATCTTATTTTATTGTACTGCATGAAAAGGCATTGGTTTATCTGAATAACTGATAAAACATATTTTTAGCTTTAAAAATATACCAGTATAAATATAATAATACGGTCACTATGGTGTAGACGTATTCAACGTACACCTGGCCATAGTGATCAATCCGACTCGGCTGGTTATATCAACTGAATCGGTTACTTCCGGTGATTTCTTTCAATGCAACAGAACATTCGATATATACATCTTTGAATTTCTAATTGTATAATCTCTTGAATTACATGGAAACAAAAAAAGCAACATGCCCCTATGGTTCCTATTTTCATCCTACTTCTAAGGTACTGCAAAACAGGTTACTTCATATTTATACATAACTATTTTTTTTGGTGACCATGTTACTCTGAGAAATTGATCACTCTAAGGGAATGATCACGAATATCAGTGAAGGTACAAGTCAGCACCTTCGAACTGAGGGCATAATGGTCAGGTACCGTGACCTTCCACACGATAGCATACATTTTGGCAGCCCCATGTGCTGCACTACTTTTTAAATGGGATTCTCTCGGCAAATATACCGTTTGCTCTCTGAGGTAATGAGCTTCATTAGCCATGTTAGGTACCTCAACACTAGTATAGTGAGGTCCCGGAATGGTTGTAGCTTTACATTCCGTTTCACATTCATATCTCACAGTATTCACAGTGCATGTAGAGGACGAACTACACATCTCTGTTTTCACTGTACTAGCACTTGCCATGTTTTTATGTTAGCACTTTATCAACGATGTTTACTTATTCAGTTGTACGTGTTTTCTGTTTTTATACAGCACTTACTCCGACTTATATACTGGTCATCTCTTATCACCATGGTTACCATCCCATAGCGCCATCTAATATTTTGGGACCGATCATATTCTCAAAAGATTATTTAGCTCAGAAACTCTGTTCATTATACTCACTTGCACATTAATGTATAGATATACTCAATTTGATCAATCCCAGCATCGGGGCCTGATCATTGTCACTCCTTGATTTATCCAAGGGCATGACAATCCATAATTCCTCACATCTACCTATGTGGGCCTAATCACTCAACATGTGTCATTCCTCACACTTATACGTTGTGTGGGTCTGACCAGCAATATCGATCCTCACCTCTCTTAGGTGGGCCTGATTGCTAACACCTCAAATATGTGATTACACAGGAATATCACCTCTGTGTATCACCTCCTCACGATCCTGGAAATATTCCAGATCTAAGACATTTAGTCTTTTCCACGTCAATCCGCACACTCTACTTGGTGTGGGCCTGACCTACCTAAATTCTCAATGTGCATCAATTTCATAAACACGAATTTAGATCATAGACAAAGGTATGACACACCGGCACATATTTTTGCCACTGCGGATGCATCTGCGTCTTTCCCTATAAATCATTTCGTTAGTTTCTGATCAACTTGAATATCTCCCAAATCGTTTCTTATGACCATATACGTGCCCAAATTTCAATTGGTTCTTACTTCATCACATACACAACTACAACAAGAGACTCATTTCAAGTAGTCTCTTTTATTCTGCTCTCATCAAGCTGACATTCTATTATGCTCACATACATTAAAACATCATGATTGTTCTTTTATTATCATTCCTCATACAAGCCACAGGTCTTACAATCTGTATTCATATGTTTGCCTTTTTATCACCATTGTCAAATGTGTTCATACCAGTTATATGCTATTTCCCAATGGTACCAATTAACAACGATAGTTTGTTTTAAAGTACACCAATATTTTTCACAACAATATTCCTATTTGAGCCGAACTCTTATTTTCTTAACTTGATTTCTCCAAAACAGGTTTTATTTAACTCTTGTTTAGATCTTGATTTTCCCCAAAAACATGTTTTATTAAACTCTTGTTCCGAGGATATGCCATATGTGGTACTTCCTCCCTGGCGACCCCATCATGGAATGGACCATTCCTACGTAGGCCAGGCATGAGAGCCACCTCAAACGCCGCCCTCTCTGGGTGCCTTACCTACTTATTTACTAACTTAACTACCCCATGTATCCACTCTCATTTTTACTAATTCAGAAATAAAATGATAGACCATCATGTTATCCAGAAGTTTTGTGTGTATATAGGTACAATTTAAAGAATGAAGGAAAAAACCTCATGTATAAAGTCCAACATTTTTATTTAACACAGAACACGTAACACTTAACGGAATTCAACTTTTTTAAACAGCTTATTCTATTGCAAAGAGACAGGATAGATGCTCATGGTTTCTCCCACATGGCATCACTCAGCTCAATGCAAAAAACGTTTTTACATGAAATTACCGAAGTTCAAGTCTATGGAACTTCTCTGATAGCCCCGTCACCCGCTAACAGATGTGACAGCCAAACTTTTAGATGCCATCCCCAGGCGAAAACAGCTTATCTATTTACAACATATGTACATTCATATGGACTAATACCAAAGTTTTAGATAACTTTTTCGATAGCCCCATCACCCGCTATCAAATGTGGTAGCCAAACTTTTAGATGCTACCCCCTGGTAGAAGTCATAACCATATGAAAAGTTATTCATCTGGCACTGCAAGTTCTGGTCTCTAACTTACAATGCCATCTGAAATTTCCCCTAGTGAAGCACATGCCAACAATATTCCACAATCGGCCTTTTAAGCTCCAAATAATACACCAGAGCCCTAACAATGCAATGCAGTCTAACCCAGTCTCAACTAATGTAATTCTAGCATCTGTTATGAAATGTAGTCAATACTCAGGCACAACAAGCGTACAATACAGACTTCTGCCCAATACAAGTCTAATACAGTACAACTCTTTGAATGTCAACAACAACAATGATCCTTATCTAAGTTCCTTAATTAATACGTTGTTATTTAAAACATAACAACCCTAGACAGCCCCACCTCGCTGCCAGGCGTGAGGGCCTCCTCATACATCGCCCTCTCCGGTCATGAAAAACCAGATGTATTCCTAAAACTGCACCTGATGCCTTATTTGCAATCCTAATCAATGACGTTGCTATCCGTACATAACAACCCTAGACAGCCCCACCTCGCTGCCAGGCGTGAGGGCCTCCTCATACTTCGCCCTCTCCGGTCACTCAAAATTCATGACCATACAACTATCCTCCTCCTTTGGGACATCTCCCAGCACCTTCTAATGCCATTTCATTTCTGCAGGTTAGGCAAAATGATCGCCATGTATCATTTCTAAACCAATGGATTATCAAAGGAATGCATCCTTCACAGAGATGGTGTGGGCAATGTGACAATCCGCGAAGATTGCTCGTAGCAAATCCGCATGCATAGCAAGTCGGCCTTTCTGGTATCATGTTCTATTCTACATAAGTTTTACCTCGTTTTTATGCATTCATTCTGAAAACAGCCTCTTATATACTAGATTTTTGGGTTACCATGACGATATGCAAATGAAGTATGTCATACTTATTGTTTTTGGGAACTGATCATTCCTGGTTATAATAGTTGACTGTCAAGGACCGATCATTTCCTTCTGTTAATATATCTTCACTACATATAACGATTAGGAGGGTCTGCTTTCCCTCGTAATCTGTACTTCCCCACTTCACGAGTTTCATAACATTCTTTTTTCTTTACATTGGGTAGTGGTCTTGGTTCTAACGTCATACTTGGATCTTGTTTTTCCAAGGCAATCTTAGGGGATACATCCGGCCCTAACTTTGATTCCAGGAAGAGTTTCTCAAGATCAAGTAGTACATTTTCTTCTGTCATAGTTGGTTTTGTCTTTGGCTTTAATACCCAGTTGTCCACTTCCCCTAGGTAAGGTTTTAATTTCTCGAAATGGACTACTTTCATTTTTGATTTCGGAGACTTTTGTATCCGGAAAACCACATCACTCAGAACTCTAGGGACAAAGTATGGTCCGGCCCACTTGTTTCTGAGTTTCATTTTCTGACCTGATCTCCTTGGTGGGGGAACTTCATTTAGAAACCAAACTGGGTCTCCCTCTTTGAAGGCACCACCACTGATCCTCTTGTCATATTGTCGCTTCTGTCGTTCGACATTCTTACCTGTGGTTTCACGGACCTGTTCTATGGTGTCTTGGATCTCATCTCGGAGATCACTGACAAATTCTGTTTCATCTTCGCCTGGCTCAGGTGGTTCCACCATGAGGGAAAGAGGAATTTCCACCTCATGTCCCAACATGAGTACGTTTGGTGTTACTCCAGTTGTATCATGCGGAGTTGCTCTATATGCCATAGTAACAAAGGGGATTTTAAGATCCCAATCAGCCTGGTCAGAACGGATGATCTTAGTGAGAGTCTGAACTAGGGTCTTATTGAATCTTTCCACCATGCCATCCGAAGCTGCATGGTATGGGGTCGTCCTGGTCTTATCAATGCTCATTAATTTGCAGATATGGGCCATGACTTTTGATTCAAATTCTCGACCTTGGTCACTGTGAAGGCTATGTGGTACTCCGAATCTACTAAACAAGTCAGAGACCAATATTGTTCCCACTGTTTCCGCTGTGTGGTCTGCAATGGGCCATGCCTCTGTCCATTTGGTATAGTAATCGCCAGCTACTAACACATACTTTTTGCCTCT